GACACCTGCCCAAGTGTGGTTCAGGAGACACTGTGGAGGTCCAGGCAGTTAAACCAAGACTTGGGACACAGGTAGACAGGGACAGAGGATTCCCAGGTGCCCATAAGTGGTGAAGCCCACTGCAAACCCTTCCCTGACTACCAAAATGACCATGTCACCCTATGTGGGTCAGGGCCTCCACAGTGCCCATCCTCTCTGCCTAGGCCTAGACCTTCTGCTTATTGGGGTAGAGGACAGAGGACAGGGCAGATCAGGCCATTTTGGTGGTCAGAGAGGCAGGAATGTTTGGTTCAAATCCCAGCCCAACTACTTCCTAGCTCTCAAACCTGGGCAAGTAGCTTTGCTTCTCTGAGCCTCAGTTTTATCATCTACAAAATGGCCATGATGACACATCTACTTCCTAGGGCTGGAGCTGGGAACGCAGTGTGATATCCCTGTAAGCGCTTAGTATAGTAATGGTTAGTTGCTATCATTTGGGGCTGAAGGAGGCAGGCAGGTATAGGGGATGGGCCAACTGGGTGACACCTGGCTTCACTGTCCAGGGTATGAGGAAGTCGTCTGGATCCCCAAAGGCTCCATCCACATTTTCATCCAGGACCTGAACCTCTCCCTCAGTCACCTGGGTGAGATGGAGGTGAGGGTATGAGGATTGGGGATAAACTTGGCTGGATTTCTGACTCCTATGCTATCTCCCAGCCCTGAGGGGGGACCAGGAGTCCCTGCTGCTGGAGGGTATGCCTGGGACCCCTCAGCCCCACCGCCTGTCCCTGGCTGGAACCATCTTTCAGCTGCGACCAGGGCCGAATCAGACGCAGAGCCTAGAAGCCCTGGGACCTATTAATGCATCTCTCATCATCATGGTAATGGTGGGAGCAAGGTGCAGGAGGACATTAGCACCCTTGTGGGGATTCCAAATTTGACTTTCTTTTGATATACCCCTTCCTCACCCCAGGTGCTGGCCAGGACAGAGCTGCCTGCCCTCCGCTACCGATTCAATGCGCCCATCATCCGTGACACACTGCCCCCCTACTCCTGGCACTATGCACCTTGGACCAAATGCTCTGCCCAGTGTGCTGGTGGTGAGGCTGGGGTGGAGCTAGAGGGGTGAGCATTAGTCACCTGACTTTCTGGATGGGGCAGGGCTGAATGGGTCTCTCACTTGCCACCAGGCAGCCAAGTGCAGGCTGTGGAATGCCGAAATCAGCTGGACAGCTCAGCTGTGGCCCCCCACCATTGCAGCGCCCACAGCAAGCTTCCCAAGAGGCAACGGGCTTGCAACACCGAGCCCTGTCCCCCTGAGTGAGTACCTATCAGGGTGCAGGGTCGGGGTAATAAGTACTGCAGTAACAGTGTTGCTGAGATCAGAGGGGCACTTAGTCCCAGGATTGGGGTGACTGTCAGGGCTCTCCTGGAATCAGAGTCGGTGCTCCCTAGTCAAGTGTAGGTAGTCATTTTCCCTTGGGGTGATGTACTCCCTGCCCCCACTGTGGATACAGGGAAATGACAGTTCTAAGTGTTAAGCTTAGGGCTGTTTACAGGAGCAACAGTCATCCCGGTGCCAGTTTACATAATAATGCTGGTTGCTAGGGAGGAGGAGGATATGCTAGTGCCCCAGGGTCAGGGTGCCCTGCCTGCATACTCTCAGACATCCATGTCCCCTCTCCCCCACAGCTGGGTTGTGGGGAACTGGTCGCGCTGCAGCCGCAGCTGTGACACGGGCTTGCGCAGCCGCTCGGTTATATGCCTGCGCCGCATGTCAGCCGCCGAGGAAAAGACGTTGGATGACAACTCCTGCCCGCAGCCGCGCCCACCCATCGTGGAGGCCTGCCATGGCCCCGCCTGCCCACCGGAGTGGGCCGCCCTCGACTGGTCGGAGGTCAGCCACCCCTTCCCACCTTCGCCCAACCCACTCTCTGTGCGGCGCAGGGCAGAACCTGGGAACTGAGTGCCCACTAATGTACACCTCTGTAGTCACAATCCCCTCCCACTAGCCCTAGTGGACCACCCTCCACTGGTCCAAGGTTAGCTGGCCCCTCCTCACCACCCACGAGACCAGCAACATCCTCTCCACTCCCTGTGTGCTGTGTGCGTGGAGAAGTGGAGGGGAGGTGATGGCCCACTGAGCGTAAAACGCCATCTCCAACTGCAGTGCACCCCCAGCTGCGGGCCTGGTCTCCGCCACCGGGTAGTCCTTTGCAAGAGCGCAGACCACCGCGCCACGCTGCCCCCCACCCACTGCCCACCCGCAGCCAAGCCGCCAGCTACCATGCGCTGCAACTTGCGCCGCTGCCCCCCTGCCCGCTGGGTGGCAGGCGAGTGGGGCGAGGTAAGTGGGCATCCCTGGGGGATGGAGGTCAGGCCAGGGGCGGCTGGGTGGTACCTCATCTGAGATGCCCCACAGTGCTCCGTGCAGTGCGGCCTTGGACAGCAACAGCGCACGGTGCGCTGCTCCAGCCACACTGGCCAGCCTTCGAGCGAGTGCGCTGAGACCCTGAGGCCACCCACTACACAGCAGTGTGAGGCCAAGTGCGACAGCATGCCCCCCGGGGACAGCCCCGAAGGTATGTGAAGTGGGAGACCAAGGGGCACCAGAAGGGCCCTGTCAAAAGGAAGCCACAGGAGAGCGTTGGGGTCCTGACCATTGGCCAGAGACCTTCCCCAACCACTGAAATGCCTTGGTGTCTCCTCCAAGCCAGCCTCGCTATCCCCTCACTACAGACATTTATTAAGTACCACTCCGTACCAAGCGTTTTAGGCATCTGATCCTTTGGGGGGCCCAAACTTGGGTCACTCCCCCAGGCCACCTCCATGACCTTCAACTTACTCATCTCCACTGATATCATTATTTGCCTAATATTCTTTCTTTAAATCAGAGTTTCTTAACCTCAGGTACTATTGACGTGTTGGGTCACATGATTCTTTGTCGTGGGGCTGCCTTGTGCACTGTAGGATATTTAGCAGCATCCCTGACCTCTACCCGCCTAATGCCAATAGGACCCCTCCCCTCAGTGTGACAACCAAAAATGTCTCCAGACATAGCCACATGCAAGTTCACCTTCCACCTCTTGCCTTCCTTCTCTCATCTGTCAGAGGGTAAAAAATATATTCACTTGAGAGGATGCCGTATTAGAGGGGTGGAATGAAATAATCCATGTGAAACCCAGGGTCTCCGAGACTGATTCCCAACCCCTTCCCGCCCTCTGCAGAGTGCAAGGATGTGAACAAGGTCGCCTACTGCCCCCTAGTGCTCAAATTTCAGTTTTGCAGCCGAGCCTACTTCCGCCAGATGTGCTGCAAAACCTGCCATGGCCGCTAGGGGGGGCAAGCAGCCCCTGAGCCACAGCTGAGCGCCAGCTTAGGGGTGGAGGGGGCTGGCTGCAGCTGGCCAGCCTGAAGGAACCCGAAGGGGCAGGAGCTGGGAGTGAAGGGTGAGATGGAGCCTGGAGCCGCAAGTTATTTATTGGGAACCCCTACAGGGCCCCTGACTGGGAGATGGAGAGGGGCTGGCCATCCCTAGGGCCCTTCCTCAGCTCCTCTCCCAGTTCACAGTGAGACGGGAGACCCAGGGTGGGTCGGAGAAGGGAACAACTTTGACTTAGTACCCTTTTTTGCCCACCCCTAGGGAGCCTTCTAAACTCCCCCACCTTTGATCGGAATACATACTGTGAAGAGTGGGGGTGGGGAAGGGGGTCAGCCAGTGCCCTGACCCCCAGCACTGCCCTATCCCTCCTCTCTGGGCTGGAGGGGGTCTATATCTGGGAGGGTGCGGGGGGGTTAGCACCACCTCCCTGAAATCCTCCCCTTGACAACACCAGCTACAGGGGTGGGTTAGAGGTGGAAAGATCCACCCCAACCCCTGCCCAGCCTGCTCCAGGGGGACCCTAACATCCAGACCACCCCCATTATGGTACTACAGGCCCTGCCCTGGGGCCCACACACCCCTTGCCAGGAAGTACTACATCAATAAAGTTCTGTCTTGTGTAGATTTCCGCACATGGTTTGTGTGTGTGTCCCTACCCCAGACTAGAAGCAGCCCCAGCAGCCTGGGATGGGGCTTTTACCAACACAGACTAGGGCCCAGTGATCTTAAGACAAATGTATAGCTTCTCGCAGAGGCTCTCGAAGTCTCAGGGTCTGGCACCTGCCATCCTGGCCACCATACTCCTGGTCACTCCGCAAGCTCCAGCCACACCTGACTTTACTTGAGCTGTTTCCTCAGCCAAATGTACCCTCTCCTTCCCTCTTCACCTGGGTAACTCCAATTTACCTGCAGTCTCAGCACAAGGTTGCCTCTCCCAGAAGCCTTCCCTTACGCCCCAACAAGGGGCCAGGGGATCCTCCTGCCTGCATATTCACTCTTAGTGCCTGGAGGCATTTGCCAAGGTTTACAGGTGCCATGAGCAAACATGCACAAGAAACTGAGAAAAGGGTGCCTTCTCATATGTGGCCACAAGGGGATGACCAGTTTTGCAACTTCTAGGTAGGATACTATGCAGACCTTCCAGGTACACCTGGCTCCTGGTACCCTCCGCTCCTGTTGCCCTTCCCCTGACACACACACAAGCACGCGTGTATGTGAAGACTGTTCTAAAGGAAGGACCATCTGAGGCTGCTCTGGAAGCAGGTGTTCATTCAAAGATGCCAAAAAAAGACATGTCTGAAGTGGTAACTCAAATGCTTCCTGGGAGCCACCCTGAACACAGCAGTCAGTCCTGCAACCAACTGAACTGTGTGCTCCTTCCTGTAGCCCCTGTCCCCAAGGAGTTGGAAAAGGGGCCTTCTGGGGTCTGGCAGCAGCTTCCATCAATCCTTGACCTCTCCTCTCAGGCTCAGAGCCCCAAACAGCCAACTCCCTTAGTCCTACCAGCTGCTAGAGCTTTCTCCCCGCCCCCTGGGCCTAGCTTCCCTCCAATGTAGCTGCAGGCCCCTCCCACCAAAGGAAGTGAAAGGGGGGACTGTTGTAAGAGGAACTAGGGCTGGGAGTCTGTTGAAGGAGAAGAAGCAGGGCCATGCCCAAACCACCCCCCAGAGCCCCTTGAGCTTGCACCCCTGCCAGGACCCATTCAAGCGCCCCCTCAAGAAATTCAGACGCCATCCTCCCACAATGGTAAGTCTTTCAGGGCAGTGGGCCCTGAAGTGCAGGGGTGGGGGTACCAGCCAGGTGGAGGTGCCCTGGAGGCCACCATCAGAAAGTGGAGCAATGGGAAGGGGCACAGCAGGCCCTTTAGGGGTTCCTCCATGCTGCTCAGGTGCCCCCAGCATTCCTCACCAGGATCAAACTCCCATCTAACAGTGGACAGCATACCAGAATAATCATTAGTAGCCAAGAAATAGACACCAGAAGGTGGCCCTGATGACTCGCACAGTGTCTGCAAGGACAGGGACATGTCACTTTCTTGGGGCTTAGGAAACCTGGTTTCCAGCTCAGTGTGGTCCCTTATCTCCCAATATGGCCCTGGGCTAGTCACTTCCCCTCTCTGGACCTCAGTTCCCACATAGATGGAAGGTGTTTGGGAACCCCTAAGTTGGAACTTCAGAGGGTCTGTGGGTTCAACAACTCTGAGTCCACATCAGGCAGGGGAAGCTGTGTCAAATGGGTGGGGTGCAGTGATAGTTTAGTGGCAGCATGCCTGTGTAGGTGAAAAGTGGTCTGGTTGTAGCAATCACAGAAGCAGATAGTGAGATGCAGCATGTCTACACCACCACTGGTACCCTTCCATGTGGGGATGGCAAGGAAGACTGTAGCCAAAGGCGTCACTGCCTAGTGAGGTTGAGGTCCAATAATGACTGTGATGGCAGGGTGGGGAGCCTGTCGCAGTCATGGAGTTAGATCCAATGGCATCATCACATACATACTAAGAGCCCGAGCTGGTGGTAAAAGTCACCCCCACAGCTCCATGCATCTGCAACCACTTCAACTTTCATTTTTTGTCATTCTGTCAATAAGGACGTGGTTGGAACAGTCACCGAGCTAGTGGTGACAACTGCAGGGCTTCTGGCAGTTGCAGCAAGCAGCTGACCAAAGTAGAGGCAGGAAGGTAGTCCAAGAGGCAGGGTTTGTGTTAGTGTGAGAGAGAACATTTTTCTCTAGAAAACTGATGACAAATTGGGCATCACTGGCCAAGGATCCATCTGGGTAATTCACAACTAAGCCATCAGCTAGAGCTCTGAGCTTGGGACAGAAACTCTTCCAAGAAGGAGCCAAGCTAGGAAGACTCAGGAGCATAGATGGACAGGCTTTGATAAAAAGAACACAGGAGCCCTGGCTGGTTTGGCTCAGCGGTTGGAGCGTAGGCCTGCGGACCAATGAGTTGCAGGTTCAATTCCGGTCAAGGGCACGCACCTCGGTTTTTGTTCATTCCTGGCCCTGGTCAGGGTCATGCAGGAGGCAACCAGTCGATGTGTCACTCTCACATCGATGTTTCTCTCTCTCTCTCCCTCCTTCCCACTCTATCTGAAGATAAATGGAAAAATATCCTCAGGTGAGGATTAAAAAAAAAAAAGAACATAGGAAATGATTTGCCACTTCACAGAAAAGCAACCCCTCCCAAGGAAGCTGTGTGAAAAATGCTTGGTCAAGGTTTGCTTGGCTAATGGGGTCAGGGAAGGGAGCAACTCCCCCCAGAGGACCACAGCAGAAAAAAAGAGTGGAACCCATCCATGAGGCCAATACCTCTCACATCTGCTCAAGGAGTGATATGCGCCAGGAAGACTGTTGAAAGATTCAGTGAAACAATATTCATAAAGTACTATACAGAACATGCATTCAATACACAGTAACCGCCACTGAGGGTGATGCTTATTCATGGCTGGAGTTAGTGATCTCAGTGAGTGGAGGTGACTCATTCTTAGTTGTTGAAGAGGAGTTGCTGTTGAAAGGATAGCAGTTGGGTTGTTGGTGCCATTGGTGGTGATGATGTTGCTGTTGGTTTTTGCATGTTGGTGGTCACAATGATTCTTGTGGGTGGGTTAACAGTGGTGATAGTTGTTTTTGGTGCCACTAGTGGTGAACATTGGTGGATGGTAGTTGGTTGCTTTTATCTGGAGGGTGGATCCATGGAATAATGGTAGTTGGTGGTCACCGTTCGTCTGAGTTGGATGACTAACGTTGGTAGTGTTTGTTTGCTGTTGGTCGTTCATTTTTTATTTTTGGTGACAATCTCAGGAGTAGTGGTGATACATTACTGGTTTCTGAAAGGGGTATTGTTGATTGCTTCTTCTGTGATAGTTGGCTATGTGTGGTTGCTAATGGCTAGTATTGTGACCATGATAGTGGCTGTTGATGGTGGTTAGTTATTATGGGTTGTTGGTGCGAGTGAGGACAGCTGGATGGTGTGGTAGGTGATGGTAGGGACATTGGTGGCGGAATCAATCATTGTTTCTGTTTAATGTTGGCTGATTATGCTGCCATTGGGGTAATCAGCAGTTTGTTTGACTTTGGTGGTGGTGGGGTGGGGTGGGATTATGCTGCCATTGGGGTAATCAGCAGTTTGTTTGACTTTGGTGGTGGTGGGGTGGGGTGGGGTGAAGGATGAAATTTATTGTCCTTGGATGGTGATAGTGGAGACATGAGGGTAATGATGGTTGTTTTTAAAGTACAGACATGTGCCTGGCCAATGTGGCTCAGTGGTTGAGCATTGACTCATGCACTAGGAGGTCATCAGTTCGATTCCAGTCAGAGCACATGCCCAAGTTGTGGTCCAGGTCCCCAGTAAGGGGCATGCGGAAGGCAGCCAGTTGATGTTCTCTTTCATTGATGTTTCTATCTTTCTCTCCCTCTCCTTTCCTGTCTGTCTAAAATCAGTACAGAAAAAAAAAAAAAGTTATTTTAATGATAAAGTATAGATATGGCCCTGGCTGGTTTGCCTCAGTGGTTAGAGTGTCAACCTGCTGACCAAAGAGTCTCAGGTTCTATTCCAATCAAGGGCATGTACCTCAGTTGCAGGTTTAATTCCCTGCCCTGGTTGGGGTGATGCAGGAGGCAACCAGTCGATGTATCTTTCTCACATCGATGTTTCTCTCCCTCTCCCTCCCTCCCTCCCTCCCACTCTATCTGAAAATCAATGGAAAAATATCCTCAGGTCAAGATTTAAAAAATAATAATAAAGTACAGACATGAGCCCTGGCTGATTTGGCTCAGTGGCTAAAACATCAACCCACTGATCAAAGAGTCACGGGTTCAATTCCAGTCAAGGGCATGTACCTTGGTTGCGATTTGGTCCTGGCCCTCATTGGGGTCATGCAAAAGGCAACCAATCATTGTGTCTCTCTTACATCAATGTTTCTCTCCCCCCCTCCCCCTGCCATCTGAAGATAAATGGAAAAGAATCCCGGGTGAGGATATTAAAATAAATAAATAAATGTATACATGAAATGGAGAGACGAGTGATGTGGCTGCTTCATCCCGGGGTAGTGGTCACAGAAAGGTTTAGGGTCCAAAGAGAATTAGGAAGAAGTACTCTGAAAGGACAAGGGTCCTCACATGTCAAAGAATGGCATCTGGCTAGGATAAAAGAAAACTGAGGTCTCCCAAAGGGAAGTGAAGACCTTTGAAGCCTTTGGCCTAAGGACCAATGAGTCTCGGGTTTGATTCCAGCCAAGGGCATGTACCTCAGTTGTAGTTCGTCCTCAGCCCTGGTTGGAGTCATGCAAGAAGCAACCAATCGATGTGTTCCTCTCACATCGATTTTTCTCTCTCCCTTTCTCTCCCCCTCTCAGTCTATCTGAAGATAAATGGAAAAGTATCCTCGGATGAGGATTAAAAAAAATTTTTAAAGCCTTTGGAGGTGAGAATATTGCTTGCACAATGTAGGTAGATAGGGTGTGGCTCCAGAGCCCCACTGAGTTGGGGGAGAGCACAACACCAAGGCACCAGGGACACACTAGGGGGCCTAGGCAGGGCCAGGGGCTGGGGGTTGTCTTCAGCAGCCACAGCAGCTTCACACCTCCTCCTGGTTGGCAACCACAGCTTGCAGGACCCCAGCAAGGAAGGAAGTGGCTGTTTTGTTGTTCTCTTCAGTCTGGGGCTCTGCTCATCACCACCCAGGGAAGCTGGAGCAGTTGGGGCAAATTGCAAAAGCTCCCTCTCCAGTCCTTCCTCCTAGCCCCACGCCCTGTGCCTGTGGGGCTGGCCAACTTAAGGTGGCTCATGCTGTTGCTGGTGATGATGAGGAAAGCTAACATTTCCTCTTCACATGCTTTGCCTCATTGAATCTGCACTACTTCCCTGGGAGGTCGGTGGCTCTCAATGGTCGCATTTTCCAAGTGAGGAAACTGAGGCAGGGAGGTTAGGCAAGCTGTTGTATAACCCAAAAGTACAGAGGATTTCAACTCAGTGACTCCCAAGGTCACATTTTTTTTAATCCTCACCCGAGGATATTTTTTCCATTTATTTTCAGACAGAATAGGAGGGAGAGAGAGAAAGAGAAATATCAATGTGAGAGAGACTCATTGATTGGTTGCCTCCCACACAACCCTGGCCTGAACCGCAACAGAGGTATGTGCCCTTGACCGAAATCAAACCCATGACTCTTTGGTCCGTGGGCCAATGCTCTAACCACTGAGAAAACTGGCCAGGGCCCAACGTCACATTTTTAACAGCCACCTTGACCTACAACTTCCTTCTACAGATGAGAGGCCACCCAGGAGCATGTGCAGACCCCACATGCCCCTGCCTCATTGGACCTGGACTCTGTTTCAATGAAACTAAGATCCTGGTGTCCCACACATACCCAAGGCCCTTCTGACCCTTGACTCCTGCTGCCACCACCAATTCAGCCTGGGAAGTTCATGTTGCAAGAACTACCTCCTACAGGAAACCCTTACTGATCGCCCCATCTCTCCATAGTACCAACTGATGTGGACCCACAGTATCCCTTAGGCAACTCATTCCACCCACTTGGCATACACTGAGTTCCCCTAGGCATGGTGCTACCTACATCCATGCACACAGTAGGGGCTCAGGAAGTATGTTCACTACAGGGCTTTAATGCCCCAGCTCTACAGGAGTCATCACCTTGGTCACAAACAGCCCCACCCTCCTCTGACACCAGGGAAGACCCATCCCTCAGGCCCTCTGCCTTTGGTTGGGGGACCTCTCTGAAGAGCTGAAGTAAGAAGCTACCTTCCTCTTCCCACCCCAGCCACCTCTAGCCCTGACGATCTTTCACAAGAACCCCAGTAGGTTGAGTCATACTTGGCTTGTGGTCAACTGTGACCACAACCTCTTCATTGCACCCCCACATTCCAAGGAAGGGACTTAGGATCAAACAGTTTCAATTTGACCCATGGAGACTTGAGGGCCACAGAGGGCAGAATACCCATGACACAGGGCAGGGAGCAGTCTCATTCCTATGGTGCTTCATTCATTCATTCATTCATGCATGTATGCATTCATTCAACAAGTATATATGTTGACCAGCTCCTATATCTGTTGTCAAAGACTGATCATTTCTACTCAATGCTCTTGAGGCCACAAGCTGCCCTTCCGGAGGTACCCCAGTACATCTGTTCTCTATGTAAGCTCATTTACTCCTCTCAGAAAACCTGTGCAGAAAGTTGACTATGGAATTCATTTAACATATGGGGAAACTGAGACTTGGAGAAGTAAAGTGACCTCCTGAGGTCCACAGTCAACTGTTAAGCCAGGCCTCACACCCAATTGGTCCCATGCCAAAAGTCTTGAGTGAAATCCCACACACTGTATCCACTTGAGCAAAACCCTCTCTCCCTCTACTGCTAACAACCCCATGGATTTTGTGATTAAATGAAGCTAGGAGTGGGTCTGGGGGTCCAAGTTCCTGGGGCAGGACATAGGGAGAGATGGCAGGGGCTGAAAGAGTCAAAGGGCCATTCAGCCAGGCAGGGGAAGTAGGGAAGGACAGGAAGAAGAACCAAGTCCTCAGAGCCAAGAAAGCCAGCCAAACATAGCCAGCCTTGTGGACTCTGACCTCAGAGAAAGGAAGTGGCTTTGAGTGTCAGCTCTGTGTGAGGGGCCTAGGAGCATGGAGACCAGGCTGACCCCAAAGGGCAAACCCTGGACAGGACAATTCTTGTCCCTGCCCAATTCTCATCTGACCGAAAGCACCAACCCCAGCCACCTCTGACCCAGACCAGGCTAGGGGACAAAGAACCTTGCTAATCCTCATCCAGGTCCTCTCTTCCTGCTGTATAACCTTGGGGAGGACACCTAACCTCTCTGTGCCATAGTTTTCTCTTCCACAAAGTGGACCTAATCATAGTACTGACCTCAGCATATGTTGAGAGAATTAAATGAGATAATTCATGGAAAAAGCTTAGACCAGAGTCTGGCACAGAATAAGTGTTACATAGGGTGTTGACTATTATTGCTATTGTTGTAGTCAGTTACTACCCAAGGCCCCACCTCTTGACGTCTTCAGAGAGGTAGTGCACTTCCTGTCCCACCCCACCAATAGCCACCACCCATGTCCCCACCCACTGTCACTCCTGCCCCACCAGGACCAACACATCTGGTCTCCCCATCTTGCAAACAGAAAACATGTTTCCCTGACCTCATCTCTCCCTACAACCTCTTTCCTTCTTTCCCTTCTCAGCCAGACTGTCCCAATACATTCTTGATCCCTATCTACATCTCCTGACCTCTCAATCTGAGTTCTGACCCTGAGGTCGCCAATACTCTTCATGGGGTCCCTCTCAGTCTCCAGTGAGCAAAAATGCTCTTCAGTAGCTTGGGGTGCAATCAATGGCTCCCAGCTTCTCTCAACCAGCCCTTGTCACCTTCAGGCCATTCCCAGTCCTGACAGGCCCCCTTGAAGCCCTAAAATAAAATTCACAGTAAAACATACCAACTACCATTGTTTCAAAAAGTAATGTGACCCCCTGGAATATGGAGGATAAATTCATTTATAATGAAATGGGTGCATAAATATGGAAGTGCTCAGGCCAGTGGACCAACAATGCTCACTGGAGCTGCCAGGTGCTCACACCTGGACACAGGCGTGTCTCGATATGCTGACAGCCCCACCATGAGCAGCATGAGTTTCAAATGCTGAACAATTCTTAGTAAAATCTGAACAAATTCTGAAAAAAAAAATTCATCTGAACAAAACAATTATGAGAAAAGAATCTGAGCAAAACCTGAAAAAAGCATTTCTGAAAAATTCAATGGGGATCAACCATATAAAAAATATATATATTCTATTTATAAATAAAATCAAATTTGGTCCTAAGTTTCAATGATTGATTATGAACAGATTTGACACTTATATGAACACCTGCCAGGTGGGGTGGGGAGCTGCAAGCAGGATGATTATTTGAATGTAAGTCTGGTACTTGTGGCCCCCTTAAAATGCCAGGCATGTTTCCATCCCTGTGACAAATGAAAATGCTCCCATCACTCCTAAAGTGTCTCCAGAGGCAATATAGTCCTGCTGAGAACCCTCCAAGCCACAGACATTCAAGTCCAAATTCCTCTGCTTGGCATTAAAGGCTCTTCAGGATTTTGCTCCCCTCCATTCATTCATGCACTCCCTCATTCCCTCATTCCTTCAGTTATTCATTTAAATAAGCCCTGGTGCCTTGTTGAGCCAGGCATGGCATAAGCCCCTTAGTTCAGGAGCTTGCACACCAGAAGATCAGGCTAAAGTGTGGGATGTCCAAAACGTGTATGAGGCTATGGTGAAGGAAACCCAGTGGGCTGGAGGGGTTCCAGAGGGAGCAACTGACCTGACCTGGGTTCAGGAAGGTCTTGGAGGAGAAGGCCCTGAGCCAAGTCTTAAAGGATGAATTGACATTCACCAGGCAGAAAGGGTGTTCTGAGCAGAGGGCTCAGCATCTGCAAAGACTTAAAGGCAACTCAGTAAAGAACTGAAAGAGTTCTTCCCAAAGGCCTCAATTACTAGCACATAGTTGGTGTTCAAGAATGCTTTGTAGAGTAGATGAATGGGATGATGATAGGAAGCCACAGACAGGAGAAAAACCACAGAAAGAAGAGATCATATGTGCCATATGATACACCTACTTTGACTACTCAGCCTGAAAGCAGTTTGAGGAGTTCGAGCCTTGATTCCCCCACACTCCCTCCTCTGTGGTCTGTCCCAGCCTCACATTATCTGCACCTTTGCCTGGGTGGTTCACTCTGCCTGGTGCACCCTCTTCCTAACTTTCAAGTCCCAACCCAAACACCCTGTGTGTCCCAGCCACTTGCAGGTATAGATGTAAGAGCCTGGCCTTTGCTGTCTGATGGACCCAGACTCAAACCCCACATCCTTAGAAACAATTTGGTTCTGTCATGAGCCAAGTGTCAAGCCACTCACTTCCAAAGCCTCAGTTCCCTCCTCACCTACACCCTACTGAGTTGCTATGAAAATTGCTGATAATATTGGTGATACCTCCTGCCTAGAGTCAGGCACATCATAGTTGCTTAGTGAATGTTAATTCTGTCATGTGCCCCTCTACCCAGACCCATCCTCTCCACCATTCAGGCTGGGAAAAAGCATCAACTGCCTGTCCCCCTTTGCTCCCCAGAGCAGTTCATCTTCACATCAAACCCTGGGAAGTGAGCCATTTCTCCCATTTTATAGATGAGATCGGGGGGCTCACAGCAGTGTTAGGTCACATGGCCCAGATCAGAACCTAGATCTGCCCACACCAAAAATTGGACATGTTTAGTGTCTGAGGGCATTACTTGACAAACTCCCCTCTGGCTGTCATTGTGTCCAGATTCTGACCATGCACCTCCCCTGCTCAGGAACTTTCTGTGGCTCCCCAGTGCCCCCAGGAGAGACTGGCTTCTCATTTACCTTCTGTCCTACAATTGTCCACACTGACCCTCCTTGCTTGACCCGCTAGTCCCCTCTGCCCAGTATGTCTGTTTCCATTCCCTGGAATATTTCCAGCAAATGCTGGTCATCTTTGAAGACTTGACTTTGGTTCTCAGTATCCTTTGCCCTTGGGGTCTTTCTCTGAAATTGGGTTTCTTTCTTCACCCTGTCTCTTGTACATTCAATAGGTCCTCCTTGCTGGGGCTGAGAAAGGACTCAGTCCCAGTTTCAGCCCTCTAGGATCCCTTGTCTGGGGGTAAGGGGCTTCCTGGAGGAGGAACATGTTGTCGGAGCATGAGTGCACCAGACAGGGGAGCTCCAGGCCATCATCGCTCTTCTGTCCCAGACTTTTCTATGGCAGGGGTGCACTGAACAGAGGCAGTGTGGGCCTGAGAGCGCCAGTGTGTTTAAGTGTTTAAGGCACTGAATGAGTTCAGTTGGGCTAAAAGTAGAAAATATTCCAGGAAGGCTTCCTGGGGGACAAGTTTTTGAGGGAAGTCTGTATCTGAGTCTCCTCCTTGGGCCCTAAGGAAGGTGTCAACTGTTAAAAACCTGAGGGAGGAAATGAAAAGGGAAAGTGAGAGCCTGTGAAGGTGCTGAAACTGGCACAGAACAGGGCACAGGCTCACTGAGGATGGAGAAGATGGAGGGCAGGGGCAGCAGGAAGGCTTTGGGAACAGAGTCACAGCTTAGAACAGAGAGTGGAGGTAACAGCTTAGCACGTGGCTCGGAGAGGATCTCAAAGGAACAGGCTGGTGCACATGACCATGAGAGGAGGAGGAGGGGAGTAAAAGGAAGGAGGTCATCTCGAGGCAGAAGAAATGGGAGCAAGTCAAATGCTATGGAGAAGGCAAGGACTTGGCCGAGGCTTGAGCAGGGAGAAGGTGGTTGAGGAATGAGGAGCAGTGAGGCTGAAAGGGAAGTGGGAAGGAGTAGTTGTCATTCTGTCTGGCCTCCTCCTGAGGGGCAGGGAGCCTGGACTGGACCTTGCCTACCTCTCTCTTCTGGTGTGAGATAGGGAAGGAGGTGAGGCACAATCAGAAGCTAAGGGTGAGGCACCAGCCCCACCTTCCCACATGCCCCCTTGCCAGGACTCACACCCACACCACTGCTTCTACCCCCAGGGCAGCAAGGAGCGCTTCCACTGGCAGAGCCACAATGTGAAACAGAGCGGCGTGGATGACATGGTGTTGCTGCCTCAGATCACCGAGGACGCCATTGTGGGCAACCTCCGAAAGCGCTTCATGGATGACTACATCTTTGTACCTTGGGCCGTGGATAGGGCAGGCAAATAAAGGAGAGAGGAACAGAAGGATGACTGGGCAAGGGTTGGTGGGATGGTGGGTGGATAGATGCAGGGAAGGACGGCAGAGGGACTTCAGCACAGAAGGACATACAGATGCCTGAGCAAATAAGTGGAGGGAAGGTTGGGCAGTGAGAGCATCGGGTGATAGGACATAAGACAGCAGGGCTCTGCTTAGGGGTGGCTGTGTCTCCCACTTCTCCCTCTGCCCTGGGGTAGCTCAGCCACCACATACCCCATTTCTCCCATTCTGGACCCAGCCCTGTTTTTTCCTAAGAGACCAAGGACATATCTGAGTATTTCTATCTCTTCCTCTGAGCAGTGGGGCTCTAGGAGGCAGGATGGGGGGAGAAGGATGAGGGGACAAGGACTCATGAGAGACAAAGCATGCCAGGACACTGCATGGCCCTTAACCACCCCACAGACCTACATTGGCTCCGTGCTCATCTCTGTAAATCCCTTCAAGCAGATGCCCTACTTCACTGACCGTGAGATCGACCTCTACCAGGGCGCGGTGAGACCAAGGCTGGGTGGGAGGCACAGTCCCCAGGACCCCTAGCTCCTAGCCCTGGGCTGAGACCTGCCCTCCCCTGGCAGGCCCAGTACGAGAATCCCCCACACATCTATGCCCTCACCGACAACATGTACCGGAACATGCTCATCGACTGTGAGAACCAGTGTGTCATCATCAGGTACAGAGAGGGATCCCCAAACCCTCCTGCCCAGGCCCCACCCAAACAGCATCCCTACCTAAGAGAGATTTACTTGGAGCCCTGGTCCAAACAGAGCCCTGCTGTCCATCTCTGTCCCCAGCCCTGCTTTACTTTCCTTGTCACCCTCTGACTCATGATATATTTTATTTATTCATTCTGTTATTGTGCATCTGTTCTCTCTAAATGTCAGCTCCAGCAGGGCAGGGATTTGTATCTGTCTTGTTCATTATTGTATCCCTAGTGCCTGGAATAGTCCCTTGTACACCATAGGGAATGAATGAATGAATGAATGAACGAACGAATCATCAGGCACTGAAAAGGGCATTATCCCCACCCCTTCCTCCTACCCCTGGCCACTTATTATTCCTTGCCTCACCTGTACCCAGTGGAGAAAGTGGAGCTGGGAAGACAGTAGCAGCCAAATACATCATGGGCTACATCTCCAAAGTGTCTGGAGGGGGCGAAAAGGTCCAGGTGAGGCAAAAACAGAAAGAAGGGGCAGGTTTCCTCCCACTCCATGGTATTTTATCTCTCCACACCTGCCTCAGCCTGACCTCTTCCCACCCCACCTGCCTCTGCCCCCAGCATGTGAAGGATATCATTCTGCAATCAAACCCACTGCTCGAGGCTTTCGGCAACGCCAAGACTGTGCGCAACAACAATTCCAGTCGTTTTGTGAGTCCACAGCTCTGCTTTTGGAATAACCATGCCACACACACACACACACACCCTCTCTACCTGTATTCCCAAGATCACAGGAAATACCTGCTCCTGGATGGGACACTGACTACCTGCATATTGTCCATTGGAAAAGAGTCCCCTTTAGGCAGAATATGACATGTCTGTGTCACATTCCTAAATACTCCCCTAGCTACAACCAAGTTCCTAGTCATATTTCAGGCCTAATTTATTCCTTCCTTTATTCCTTCTTTCAAGAAATAATTCTTATACTCCTTTGTGTCAGGTGCTATGCTGGGCCTACTGGAAGACAGAATAGGTAAACAGATCTAGATTTATGATTCAGGTTCTGTCACTCTTTAGATATGTGGTTTGGACAAAAAACCACGTAAACTCCTGAGTGTCCTCTGTTTTCTCATCTATAATGTAGAAATGATATTAAAATCCATCTCATAGCCCTAGCCAGTTTGGCTCAGCTGTTAAAGTGTCGGCCATTGGACCAAAGAGTAGTAGGGTCAATTCCAGTCAAGGGCACGTACCTTGGTTGCATTTGGTCCCCAGCCTTGGTTGCTTGGTCGGGGTCATGTGGGAGGCAGCCAATGTGTCTCTCTAACACTGATGTCTCTCTCTCTCTCTCTCTCTCTCTCTCTCTCTCTCTCTCTCTCCCCCCCCCCCACTCTACCTGAAGATAAATAGAAAAATATCTTTGGGTGAGGATTAAAAAAAAAATTAAAATCCATCTCATAGACCTTGACAATTTTATTTCAATGCCTGTATGTGGAAATAACTTAATAAATTCCATACACTAATAAGATTTTTGTTTCCCAAAATATTATTAGTTATATATATTTTTCTTTATTGATATCAGAGAGAGAGAGAAAGGGAGAGGGAAAGAGAGATAGAAACATGGATGAGAGAGAGCATCGATAGGCCGCCTCCTGAATACCCCCCACTGGGGATCGGGCCCACAACTTGGGCATGTGCCCTGACCTGGAATCAAACCAGCGACCTCCTGGTGTATGAGTCAATGCTCAACCACTGAGCCACACTGGCCAGGCTATTAGTTATATTTTTTTATCTTTTTAACTTTTTTTTAGATTTAATTTATCTTTATTTTTGAAAGTATTACCGACGTCCCTCCTTTTACCCTCCATTGACTCCCTCCTCCCCTCTCCTATCCCACCCCCCTGCCTTCACCTCACTATTGTCTGTGTATGCATATATGCATATAAGTTCTTTGGTTTATCTCTTCCTGCCACCCCACTCCCTTCCCTCTGAGGTTTGTCAGTTTGTTCCCTATTCCATGTCTTTGCATTTATTTTGTTCGTCAGCTTATTTTGTTCATTATATTCCACAAATAAGTGAGATAATGTGGTATTTGTCTTTCTCTGACTGGCTTATTTCACTTAGCATAGTACTCTCCAGGTCCCTCTACGTTGTTATATTTTTATTTTCTAATATATATTTATAATATAATTCTATTTTAAGTGTTTTCTCAATATTTATTGTTAAAAATTCAAATACACAGAAAAAAAAATTTTTTTTTTTTGGTATGTGTCCCTAGTGGGAACCGAACCCGGAACTCTCTCTGGTCCTCAGGCCTACCACTGAGCCAAACCAGCCAGGGCTAGACAGAAAAATGTAAAGAATAATAAAGTTAATACCTGTATGCCCATCTCCTGTATCATTAACATTTTACTACATTTGTTTTATTGTATGTTCATCCATCTTTTTTTTTTTTTTTTATCCTCACCCAAGTTCATTTTTGCATTCATCTTCAGATCGGGAGGGAGAGAGGGAGGAAGAGAGAGAGGAAGAGAGAGACAGAAACATCAATCTGAGAGAGACACATCGCATGGTTGCCACCCCCATGACCCCAACCAGGGCAGGGACAAACTGCAACTGAGGTACACACCCTTAGCGGGAACCGAAGCCGGGACTCTCCAGTCCACGAACCAACGCTCTAACCGCTGAGCCAAACCGGCCAGGGCCATTTTATGGTTTTTTTTTAATATGGTTTTTTTTGTTTGTTTTTGTGTTGTTGTTTTTTTATCCTCACCCGAGGACATTTTTTGATATTTTGTTCAGATAGAGTGGGAGGGAGAGAGAGAGAGAAACATGGACGTGAAAGGGACACATCGAGTGGTCGCCACCCACACGACCCAATCAGGGCCAGGGACAAACTGCAACCAAGGTACGTACCCTTAGCGGGAACCGAACCTGGGTCTCTCCAGACCACAGGCTGAGCCAAACTGGCCAGGACCATTTTATGTTTTTTTGTGTTTTGTTTTGTTTTAATCCTCACCCGAGGACATTTTTCCATTTTTTTGTTCAGATAGAGTGGGAGGGAGAGAGAGGAAGAGAGAGAGAGAGAAACATCGATGTGAAAGGGACACATTGAGTGGCTGCCACCCTCACGACCCAACCAGGGCCAGGGACAAACTGCAACTGAGGTACATGCCCTTAGCGGGAACCGAACTCAGGTCTCTCTGGACCGCAGGCCAACGCTCTAACCGCTGAGCCAAACTGGCCAGGGCTTTTTTGTATGTTTTTTTTTAATATGTTTTTGTTGGTTTTTTAGAAAGAGAGGAAGAGAGAGAGAGATAGAAACACTGATGTGAGAAACATTGATTGGCTGCCTCCTGCATGCCCCCTACATGTGCTCTGACAGGGAATCAAACCAGGACCTCTCATTTCATGGGATGATGCTCAATCCACTGAGCCACACCAGCTGGGCCCATCTTATTTTTTGATGCGTTACAAAGCAAGCTGCTGACACCATACCTTTCCCCCTCCCCAAACACTTCAGCATGCATATCATTAATTATAGTCCATTATAAATTTGCAGTTCTCTTTTATTTCTAAGTAAAATTTGCATACAGCAAAACATAAATCTAAAGTGGACCATTCACTGAGTTTGGAAAAATACATGCAATGTTCAATCCAAACCCCTACCAGTACACAGAACATCACCATCACTCCAGAAAGTTCCTTCTTGTCCCTTTCTAGTCAATTTCTACTCCTACCCTACTCCAGAAGCAACCACTCTTCTGAATTGTTTTCACCATAGATTGATCTTAGCTGTTCTAGAACTTCATATAAATGGAATCACACAGTACGTGTTTTCAAACTACTGATATACCCCAAAACATGGATAAATCTCAAAATGTATAATTACATTTTATTTTATATAGTTGTTGTACAATAGAATAAGTGTATGTCATATACTACAGGTGTTTGTGTAGTATGATAATGTGATTTGTATTGCCATCAGACAGAAGTGGCAGAAAGGAGAAGTAATGGAGCTTTGTCTGCCCTCCAATCTCTGGTCAGAGAAGAACCCAGATGGTATCAGAGACTAAAGAAAGGGATTGTGGGGTCCTTGCTCTGGGCTCAGGGACAACATGTAGGAGATACTCAGGATCACTTGAACCAGCTGTATCCCACCAAGACATGGAGGCCTCTGTGTTGTGGTAGAGGGACTGGGAAGCTGGTCAATAAAATGTGATACTTCTGTGTGCCAGGCACAAAGCAGATGTCCTGGGTGGTGGCTTGAATTATCAGAGAGAAAGTAAAGGGCATTCCTGGCCCAGGAAAGAGCTTAAGCAAAGGCTGGAGAGAAGGATCTGATGGAAAAGACAAGCAGTGCAGAAGTGGGAAGTGGGGAGAGGAAAGCAAGTTGAAGTCACGTGGATAAGAGAAAGAAAGAGGCCAGGCTCATAATACCCATCCCCAATCCTTCCCCCACCTGAAATCCTGGCCCCTGGTGGGGCTGACGTTGTTCTCTCGAATTCAGGGCAAGTACTTTGAGATCCAGTTCAGCCGTGGCGGAGAGCCGGATGGCGGCAAGATCTCCAACTTCCTGCTGGAGAAATCTCGCGTGGTCACCCAGAATGAAAATGAGAGGAACTTTCACATCTACTACCAGGTGCAAGAAAGGGGGAGCTCCACTTGGAGCCTGGGGATGACATTGGGAGGGTCAGTGAGGACTAGGGGACCACAAGGCCTGTGCTGGTCCAGTGCATGAGCATTGCTCACCCTCCAGCTCCTGGAAGGGGCCTCCCAAGAGCAGCGGCAGAACCTGGGGCTCATGACCCCCGACTACTATTACTACCTCAACCAATCAGACACCTACAAGGTGGACGGCACCAATGACAGGAGCGACTTCAGTGAGACTCTGGTGAGTACCAACTGCCACTCCAGCCCTGGCAACCTCTTGTGTTACATGTCAGAAAACTGAGACCCAAAGTTGAGTAGGGAGTTGCCCAAGGTAATACAGTGAGCGGGTGAAAGAAGTAAACCAGGGACGCAGGTGTCCTGACTGTAAGTCTGTGCTGTGACCCCAGAAGCCTGACCCCAGGGGACAGGGTGGAGATCGAGATTGGTGGCACAAGCTCTGTGTTTGTGGTGCCCACAGAGCGCCATGCAGGTCATCGGGATCCCACCCAACGTCCAGCAGCTGGTCCTGCAGCTCGTAGCGGGGATCTTGCACTTGGGAAACATCAGCTTCTGTGAAGATGGGAATTACGCCCAGGTGGAGAGTGTGGACCGTGAGTTTGGCTGTTGGGGAGGGTGGGAAGCAGGTGTGTGTGTGAATGATTCCTCCTAGTTCATCCCTCAGAGGGTGAGGACCCATGAGGACAATTTCATTGTCACTGGGCAAAATAGGGAGAGATAGAAGTTGAAATAGATAAGAACCTGACCAGCTGCCCCTTTCTCCCACCACCTGGCAGTCCTGGCCTTTCCCGCCTACCTGCTGGGCATCCATAGTGGGCGTCTACAGGAGAAGTTGACCAGCCGCAAGATGGACAGTCGCTGGGGTGGGCGCAGCGAGTCCATCGATGTGACCCTGAACGTGGAGCAGGCAACTTACACCCGCGATGCCCTAGCCAAGGGGCTTTACTCCCGTCTCTTTGACTTCCTCGTGGAGGCAAGTGTGGCAGGGTCCAAGGGTGGGAGAGGTGCTCTGGGACCAGCCAAGTGAGAGAGGCAGGCTTGACTACCACAACCTCACCAGTCCCCTGCTGTGGGACACATCAAGCAGGAACAGGTGGTGGTCATGTGAAAGACTGAGGGGCTCAACCCAGTTGGTGTGGCTCAGTGGATTGAGCATCCTCCCTGGTGATCCCTGTTTGATGCCCAGTCAGGGCACATGCCCGGTTACAGGCTCAATCCTCCGTAAGGAAAGTGCAGGAGGCAACAGATGGATGTTTCTCTCTCCCATCGATATTTCTCCCTCTCTCCCTTCTTCTCTCTCTAAAGATCAATAAAAACATATTTAAAAAAAAAAAAACTGAGGGGCTCCTGCTGGCTGAGGCATGGAGCTCAGCCTGGGCTGGGATAGGGGCTGTGGTAACAGAGATGGGTGGGTACATTTGAGAGCCAAGAGGAGAATTGTCTAGAAGACAAAGTGGACTGGATAGGGGTCAACAGGGACAGAATGTATCAAGGTGACAAATGATGATATAGTAGCTGACATTACGTAACACCTAGTGTGTGCCCTTTACTGTTGTAACTGTTCTACATACATCTATTATTCACCCATTTTAAAGATGAGAAAATAGAAAGGCAGAGTTGTTAAGGGGCAGAGCCATCTCCCAAGGCAGGAACCTGATGCTCTAAAACTTGGGTTCCTTATATGGGTGACTGATGGGGGTATGCACAAAGCTGAGGAAGGCAGGAAAAAACTGGCATGAGGGGACATAGCCTGCAATGTGACTTAGAGTATAACAAGAGAGTGGCAGGCTGGTACTCACCTCCTATTCCTACCCACATCATAGGCTATCAACCGTGCTATGCAGAAGCCCCAGGAAGAGTATAGTATTGGCGTGCTTGACATCTATGGCTTCGAGATCTTTCAGGTATGGTCTCTGCTCCCAGGCCCCTACCCTGTCCCAGTGGCCCTGGAACCTCCAATGTCAGCCCACTGAAAGATGCACTCTTTTCCTCCCTGGGCAGAAAAATGGCTTTGAGCAATTTTGCATCAACTTTGTCAATGAGAAGCTACAGCAGATCTTTATCGAACTCACTCTGAAGGCTGAGCAGGTGAGCAGGAAAAGCCAAGTAGCCAGGGACATAAGATACTGAGTTGTGGGCAGGACCATGAAGGTCACTGACCAACCAGGAGATACCCCAGCTCCCTATTTCCATCTCTCTCTGCTGACTCATCCAGTTTCCACGGAGATTTCCTTTGGCGGAAGTTTTCCATCTCTAAAGCTTTGACAAGGGCTGGGAATAAGCTCTTTGTTCATTCTGTCAACAGTTATTTATTGAGCACCTATTGTGTGACTGGCACTGTCTACAGTGCCAGGGAGACAACAGTGAACAGAATGAACAAAAATCACAGATGTTGCCCTGGACAGTTTTGCTCAGTGGTTAGAGCGTGGCCCCACAAACCACAGGGTCATGGGTTCGATTCCTGGTCAAGGACACGTACTTGAGTTGCAGGTCTGATCCCTGGCCCCAATGAGGGTCGTGAGGGAGGCAACCAATCGATGCATCTCTCTCACATTGATGCTCGCTCTCTCTCTCCCTCCCTCTCTTCCATTCTATCTAAAAATCAATGGAAAAATATCCTTGGGTGAGGATTAACAACAACAAAAAATCCTGATGTTTTCATTCTACCATCCCACAGAAGCAGAATCTCAGACAAGCATTCAGGGCAAAGACCAGGAGAGGAGTGAGGTAGTGAGAGAGATTTTTTTAAATTGATTTTAGAGAGGGAGGAATGGAGAGAGAGAGAGAGAGAGAGAGAGAGAGAGATACATACATCAATCAGTTGCCTCCCACCCACCTGGGCCAGGGAGCAAATCCAAACCTAGGTATGTGCCCTGACCCAAATCAAACCCATGACCTTCCAATGCACAGGACAACATTCCAACCAACTGAGCCACATTGGCCAGGGCAAGAGAGGGATTTTTTTTAAAAGCCCCAGTGGAGCCCTGGCCAGTTTGGCTCAGCGGTTAGAGCGTTGGCCTTCGGTCTGGAGAGACCGGGGTTCGGTTCCCGCTAAGAGCATGTACCTCGGTTGCAGTTTGTCCCCGGCCCTGGTTGGGTCGTGTGGGTGGCAACCACTCGATGTGTCCCTTCACATCGATGTTTCTCTCTCTCTCTCTCTCTTCCTCCCACCCTATCTGAACAAAATATCGAAAAATGTCCTTGGGTGAGGATTTAAAAAAAAGCCCCAGTGGAGTGTGTTAATGAGCAGGTTATGTTAGGGCTACTGGGGTTCAGTTCTGCTGGACCCTAGGGCAACTGTACAAAGCAGACCTCAGGCTTGGCCCACTAAGGAGCAAGGAATCTGGGATATATCTCTGCTAGCTCCAATGTCTGTCTGTCTGTGATTGAGGGCTGCCACGGGTGACACTTCCAGCCTGCCCCATGCCAGGTTAATGGGCTCTGTTACAGGAGATAGTCCTAACTGATGAGACTGTGGGGGAAACTTAAGGAGAGCACCTTCCCCTTTTTTCAACAAAAGGGAAACTTTATTGAGGCCCCAGGGTTCAGGCAGAGGTCACCCTGCAGGCAAGAAAGTGGTGGAGTGGCCTTATTTGACCTTCTTGGGACACAGGTTGTTTGTATGGCCCCACTTCTTGCAGCAGTTGACAGTGTGGGGGTACAGGTGGGCATAACACTTGAGGCAGATCATCTTGTCACAGTTGTGGTTCTGGGCAAGCTGGTAGAAGGAGGACTCAGTGATGCCACCCTGCAGAGAAAGCAGGGTGGACTATTTCTGGACGTTGTCATTTGAGAGAGTGTAGCCATTCTCCAGCTGTTGGTGCACAAAAATAAGACACTGCTGGTCAGGTGGGATGCCCTTGTCTTGGATTATAGCTTTGAAATTCTAAATGATGTCACTGGACTCGAAGTCAAAGGTTATTCAGAGTCTTCACAAAGATCTGCATTTCTGCATCTCCTGGAGAGACTGCTCAGCCACCCATCCTTGAGCATACATTCTAGAAATACACACAGCTTTACCCAGACACCCATCCCATCCCTGCCCTCTTTGCCACCCCCAGGAGGAGTATGTCCAGGAGGGCATCCGCTGGACCCCCATTCAGTACTTCAACAACAAAATCGTCTGCGACCTCATTGAAAACAAGCTGGTGAGAGCCAGGCCAACTTTAGGGGGTCTCAATGAGCCCCAGAGCTGAGCCTAGGAGAGCTGGGAGGGGGCAATGGTCCCAATAGGCCCTTCTCTACCCAGAAGCACAACTGACATATCCCTTTAGCCACCTCACCCATTCATTCTGCCCACCTGCTTACCTTTCACTTATTCACTCAACAAACATTCCCCCAGGCAGTTTGCTCAGGGACAGAGGGGTCAGTGCTGCTCAGGGGCAGGTCCCCCACCAGACACCCCAGTCTGGGAAAAGTGAAGAGGCATGGATCTCTTATGAGGTCCCTCACCCCATCTTGTGCCCCAGGGAGCTTCCACAGCAGCCCACACACACAGATTGGGCTCCATCACCACCTTTTACTCTTATATTTGGGAGATCTCCCCACACACACTTTCATCCCAGTGAAGGTCTCTGTAATGGGATTCAGGCAGAGTAGGGCCAGGCTAACCAACTGCCACCTCCCCATGACTGCAGAGCCCCCCAGGAATCATGAGTGTCCTGGACGACGTGTGTGCCACCATGCATGCCACAGGTGGTGGCGCTGACCAGACGCTGCTGCAGAAGCTGCAGGTGGCTGTGGGTACCCATGAGCACTTCAACAGCTGGAGTGCTGGCTTCGTCATCCACCACTACGCTGGCAAGGTGTGATGCAACCACCTCCCCCTGCCTCCCCCAACCCCACCGCCCAAGGGCCCCCAGCAGTGCCTCCCCACAGACCCTGGGGTCTCCAGGCTGCAGCCTCCCAAACTCCTAATGGAAGGACCCCCTGGGGACCCCCAGCCAGGGCTGCAAAACTGTATCCACCCCTTCTCTGTCCCTATCAAACTGACCAGAAACACAGACCCCTATTTACTAACCCACAGAAACTGGCCTAAGCTCCACACCATGCCTTCAGTCAGAGCTGCAGAAACTCTTTGGCCCCTGATCAAAGCCACAGCTCCCCCTACTAACCAGACAGCTCCCCCTCACAGGACAGAAACTCCCTCCAAATGACCTCAAATTGGGCAGCAGACCCCTAACCTCCCATCTGAGCTGTAAGCCACACTAACTCACTGATCTAGGGCACAGCCCACAAACTTCTGACCCCAGGCCCATGCTGCAAGCCACCACCCTCCAAAATGGGCTTGAGCCCCCTGCAGAACCCTCCCCAAGGCTATAGAAATCTACTGGCCTCCCACCCTGGCCACAGTCTCTCTGCAACTGACAGGACTGCAGACTCTCCCATTGACCTTAACATGGAGAGCAGACAGCCTCCGCGTACCCCTGGCTTGCTACAGCCCACCATTCCCTAAAATGGGCTGGAGCTCCTATGTCCCCTGAGCCAGGACATACCCACAACCAGCACTACAGAGAGCCCCCACCTTGGATGGCAGACCTAGCCCACAAACCTGACTGAAGTCTCCCAGGATCTCCAGCCACTGCTAGAACTTTCCCTGACACAGCCTCCCATGCCCTCAGTTGGCCATGACACACATGCTCTGACCTTTTAACTCCAAATTAAGTAGCAGAACCCCACCCCAGGGACCTTCTGCCTAGGCTGCAGCCCACCCCACCCCAAATCTGGGCTATAACTATCACCTCCCCCTGCCTCTAAATCTAGGCTGCCTGGACTGTAATACCAGTTCCCCTCACCTCTGACCCAGATTGCAGCTCCCACCCTCCAATTTCAATGTGAACATTAGACCCCCCAGGGACCTGAGGCCCATGCTGCCGCCCCCCCCCCCATTTTCTGAACCATAACTACTCTCCCCCATTCTCTCACCCCAGAACAGGACCCCCCTGATCACCTAGGCCATAAGCCCCTTATCTTCCCTGGCCTCAGCCCCTCACTCCCCCCATGTCATCTCCCTCCAGGTCTCCTATGATGTCAGCGGCTTTTGCGAGAGGAACCGAGATGTTCTCTTCTCTGACCTCATAGAGCTGATGCAGACCAGTGAGCAGTGAGTGGTCCTGAGCATGGGGACATCTGGGCAGAATCACCCCCCCTGGGGATAGGGGAGGCCTGGGACCACCCCATCTTCCCCAGGGCTCCCATCACGCCACGGACATTGTCAGGGTGGCTGTGTGACCAGGACAGCCACATAGTGGCTGGTTCTGATTCACCAGTAATCCTTCCAGCACTCCCTCTACAAACCCAAGCATTCGGTGCAGACAGCTTCCCTTTCTATACAGTGAGAACACATCACACCCTGTATTTCCGTACTAACACATATGGATCTATTGCCCTAACCACAGCTGCATGCTGGGTACCATCTTTTGGCTTTTTATACCTCAAAATTTTGTTCAAGCTCCGCTGTGGACGAGGCATCATTTGAATGTGTGGGGATGGATGACACAAGTCAGAGAACACAGCTGCTCTCACTGAGCCGACAGCTCAGTGGAGAGACAGACATTGAATTAGAGAAAAAAGCAAATAGAATCTAACATTGATAGTGGTTCTGAAAAGGCTGAATGAAAGTGGTTCCTGGACCAGCAACATGGGCATCATCTGAGCTTGTTACAAATGCAGAATCCCAGGCTCCACCCCAGGGGGATGGAATCAAAATCTGGATTTTATTAACAAGACTCCCCGCCCCCCACCCACCCAGGACCCATGTATAAGTCAGAGTTAGAGATTCATTGATCTGAAGCAGCCATTTTCAACCTTTTTAATCTCATGGCACACATAAACTAATTACTAAAATTCTGTAGCATACCAAAAAATATATTTTTTGCCGATCTGACAAAAAAATAGGTATAATTTTGATTCATTCACACCAGACAGCTATTGTTCTGTTGGCTGTTGTCATATGTTTTTCTTTATTGATTTTTAGATAGAGAGGAAAGGGGAGAGAGAGAAAGAAACATCAATGAAAGAGAATATCAACTGGCTGCCTCCTGTATGCCCCCCACTGGGGATCAGGCCCACAACCTGGGCATGTGCCCTGACCAGGAATCGAACTGGCAACCTCTTGGTGCATGGGTCAACCCTCAACCACTGAGCCACACCAGCCAGGCCTTATGTTGACATTTTTTTATTTGACAATCTAAGGGAAAAGAGGTCAGTGCCCCTGACTAGTCAGATATTGCATGTTTTAAAAATTCTGTGGCACACTGGTGGAAAATTGCTGCTCTAGAGCTTCCCTGTCCAATACATTCCATATCTAACAGAATTCAAACTACATAGGCAATATTTTTTAAACAACCTTATTCAGGTATAATTGACATACCATGAAGTGTACCCAATTTAAGAAGTGATATATATATATATATATATATATATATATATATATATATTTTTTTTTTGGTACATGCCCCTAGCGTGAACTGAACCTGGGACTCTCTGGTCCACAGGCCAACGCTCCAAACTGGCCAGGGCTTAAGAGGTGATTTTTATTACAGACTTGGACAACCATCACCACAATCCAATTTGGAACATTTGCATCACCCCAAAAATATCCCTTGTGACGAATTGCAGTCAATCCCCAATCCCCACCACCTGTGTAATTTTTAATTTTCTAGTAAGCACACTTAAAAAGTAAAAAGGCAGCCCTGGCCAGTTTGGCTCAGCGGTAGAGTGTTGGCCTGTGGACCAATGAATCTCAGGTTAGATTCCGGACAAGGGCACATACCTCGGTTGTAGTTTGTTCCCAACCCTGGTTGGGGTCATGTGAGGGGCAACCAGTCAATGTGTCCCTCTCACATCGATGTTTCTCTCTCTCCCTTCCTACTCTATCTGAAGATAAATAGAAAAATATCCTCGGGAGAGGATTAAAAAAAAAAAAAGGTAAAAATGCAAACAGGTATGCCCAGCTGGTGTGGCTCTGGATTGAGCACCATCCCATGGACTGAGAAGTCCCCGTTTGATTCCTGGTCAGGGCACAGACCCGGGTTGCGGGATCGATCTCCTGTAGGGGGCATGCAGGAGGCAGCTGATCAACGTTTCTCTCTCACATTAATGTTTACTTTTTTAAAAATATATTTTTATTGATTATTTAGAGAGAGAGATAGAAACATCAATTGGCTCTAGTTCTCAAAGTGGGGTCCCTGGACCAGTTGCATCAGCATCCCCTGGGAACACGTTAGAAATTATTGGGCCCTAGCCCAGGCCTGTGATTGAGAAACCCAAGGGGTGTGGCAAGGCAATCTGTGTTTAACAAACTCTCCTGGTGATTCTGGCTCCCACTGAAGTCTGAGAATTATTGGGTCTAGTGTTGTGAAAAAAAAAAAAAAAAACTAAGCTGAGAAAGGGATAGAGAGAAGGCACTATTTTTTTTTTACTTTAATCTTTTAATTGTGGTAAAATACACACAATATAAAATTTACCTTTTCACCATTTTAAAGTGTACAATTCAGTAGCATTAAAAACATTCACAGGGTTGTGCAACCATCACCATTATCTAGTTCCAGAACTTTTTCATCTCCCCAAATGGATACTCGGTATCTATTAAGCAGCCCACTTATTCTGTTTTTTGTTTGTTTGTTTTTTGTTCAGGTAGAGTGGGAGGGAGAGAGAGGAACAGAGAGAGAGAGAGAAACATCGACGCGAAAGGACACATCGAGTGGCTACCGCAACGGAGGCACACGCCCTTAGCGGGAACTGAACCCAGGTCCCTCAGGACCGCAGGCCGATGCTCTAACCGCTGAGCCAAACCGGCCAGGGCAGCCCACTTATTCTGTGGTCAGGGGAGATCTCCCTGAGAAGATGAGAGAGGGAGTCTGATATACCAAAGTGTATTTAACTGATCCCCTGTTGATGGACACAGGTTGTGTCCATCTCTGACAATTACAAACAGGGCTACAGCAGCAAGCATCCACGTCCCACATGCAAGCCTGTGCATGTAGGATGGTTCCTACAAGGGGTCCTGCCCCTGCTGCTCAAGATGCTGCATCAGTGGATATATTTTCCTACTTCATTTAATTTTTTTCTACTTTACTTGCTACACCAAGTCATGTGTGGTCACGGAAGTAGTAACAGAGCAAATAATCAAGGAACCAAAAGAATAAAACCAACCCTCTGGTTCTCAACATCTCACCCTGCACATTCAGAAAGAACTATACTTTTCAGCATGCCCTCTGGGTCTCAGTCACCTAGACAGCTCCACTTCTGGGAGAGGGCAACCCGAGATCCAGCTGCAAACTCTAACCCCTCCTCTCTCCTTGCCAGAGCCTTCCTCCGGATGCTCTTCCCCGAGAAGCTGGATGTAGACAAGAAGGGCCGCCCCAGCACTGCTGGCTCCAAGATCAAGGTGAGCCTTAGGGCAGACAAGGAGGTCTGTGTCTGTCTCTTCTGTATTCCGGGCCCTCTACTCCCGTCTCTGGCACCCTCTGTCCAGCAGGGTGTTCTTCCAGCTCTAGGGTTAGGGAACTTGGACCAGCTTCCTCAATGGCCCCCTAACTCCCTAAATCCAGAAGTGGACCATCATCTTAAATTCTTGGGGGGTCTTTTGGTCATTTGCCACTTTTTAAAATTGTGATAAAATTTACATAATGTAAAATATACCATCTTAACCATTAAGTGTACATACAGTTCCGTGACATTAAGTACATTTACACTGTTACACAACCATCCCCACCATCCATCTGTAGAACTCTTTTCATCTTATTAAATTGAAACTGTCCCCATTAAACACTAACTCCCCATTCCTCTCCCCCAGCCCGTGGCACCCACCATCTATTTTATGTCTCTGTGAATCTGACTCTTTTAGGGACCTCCTATGAGTGGAATCACAAAGTATTTATCCTTTTATGCCTGGCTTATTTTACTTAGCATAATATCCTTAAGGTTCATCCATATTGTAGCATGTGTCAGAATTTCCTTCCTTTTTAAATCAGAATAATATTCCATTATATGGATATACTGCTTTTTCTTATCCATTCCTCTGTTGATGAACACTTGTGTTGTTTCTACTTTTTAGCTGTTATGAACAGTGGTGCTGTGGACATGGATGTGCCATCCTAGTAATATTTAATAACCATGTATTGAGCAGTTGTCAATGCTAGTAGCAAATACAGGACACTTTACACATATGGGACTAGCCCCACTTGGCAGATGGGGGAGACCAAGGCACAGGGAGGTGTAGTCACTGGCCCAGATCACACAGCAGAGCCAAGATCAATACCAGGATCTCCTACTGCTCCCCACAACCCCCTACCTGGAACAATTTTCTTTCTAGTCTCCACACAGGAACTAAAATGCAGAATCCAAGGCTGCTCTCTCAGGCACACATACATTCCCTACCTTTAAACTACTGGTCTCCGAAGGATAGGCAGGAATATTCTGAGGGACATTTTCCCCAAGGGCTTAGTTACTCCATCAATACACATTTGCCCCCCCACACACACACACACACACACACAGTGTGTGTCTCTGTCTCCTGGGTCTATATCCAGAGTGGGAGGAGAAAGGGGCCAGAAGGTCTCATCTGTGAAACTCCCCCCTGCCTTCTCCTCTGCTTCAGAAACAAGCCAACGATCTGGTGACCACACTGAAGAAGTGCACACCCCACTATATCCGCTGCATCAAACCCAATGAGACCAAGAGGCCCTGTGACTGGGAGGAAAGCAGGTGACCCCCAACCTGGTCTGGCTACAGGCTTAACCAATCTATACTGCCTGTACCCCAGACTCACCCTCCCTCTAGAACCCTCCTGGGGTTGCATGATGGAAGAACTACCCAGGTTGACCCCTAGGACCAGTGCAAAGCCTCTCAGGACCTTGGGGTTACATCTAGAACTGACCAAGACCCCAGAGATTGCCCCACACTGACTGGAGGATGACCCAGAGACTGGCACAGTCCCCAGGTCCCAGGACCCACTCTAGAAGCGACTGGCCACAGAACAAACACAGGCCCTTCATCCCAGAACCCAGGCCCCCACTCCACAGAACTGATTTGCTGGGGCCAGCACTGAATACCCCTCCCAAGACCTTGACCCCCACACTGCCTCTAGCAGACACCCCTCCTGCTCCTAGGACTGGTAAGGCCCCTACCATGGGACTCAGGCTGCCTTTCCTCCAGGGTCAAGCACCAGGTCGAGTACCTGGGCTTGAAGGAGAACATCCGGGTACGCCGGGCAGGTTTTGCCTACCGCCGCCAATTCGCAAAGTTCCTGCAGAGGTGAGGTGCTCTGCCACTCCCAACCTTAACCGCCACCTGCCCGAATAAGCACCAGCTAAGCCATCTGCTCAAACCCTCCCAAACCTTCTACCACCAGGTATGCCATTCTGACCCCCCAGACATGGCCACAGTGGCGTGGAGACGAGCGCCAGGGGGTCCAGCACCTGCTGCATGCAGTCAACATGGAACAGGACCAGTACCAGATGGGGTGCACCAAGGTCTTTGTCAAAAACCCCGAGTCAGTAAGTGTGTGTGTGAGAGAGACAGACAGACACCTGGATCATTTGCACAGGCTCTGGTCCTGCTCTTCAGGCCACTGTGTGACCTTGAATATATTTCCTCACCCCTCCAAGCCTCAGTTTCTCCATTTGGTAAGTGGAGAGAGTAAAAGCTGCCCTGCAGGACTGGGGTGAGAATTAGAAAGAACAAGAAGTCCACTGCACAGTGCCTGGCATGCAGTAGGTGTTTAGAAAAACCTCAATTAGCCGGACACTCCTTGGTGGCCAGGAAGCAGGTAGAGAAACACATGGCTACCTATGATGACAAGCCCTTTGGAAAGAGTAAGGATGCATGGCTTACCCAGAATGTCCTTTGTTTTCTTTCTTTTTTCCTTCCTTCTCTTTCTCCTATCATGTCCTCTTTCCTCTTTATCTCCCTTCACTCCTTCATTCATGAACACATCAAATCCCTGAGGCCTGAGATTCATGTCAAAGTGGCTATTTTCTTATCCAACAGCAGGCTCGGGTCCTGATATATCAAAGACAAACCTCATTGCACATTTTCCAACGTAGGAATAATTTTCCAACACAGGCAGCTAACTGTCATCAGCTGTTAACCTTCTATCAAAAGGCTGGAAGCGCCACCCACTTTATGCTACCTCTGCTTTCAGGGAAAAAGCAAACACAGCAATGATGAGGAATATGTCCTGGGGACCTCATGTACAGCACAATAACAATAGAGAGCAATGCTGTATTATTGTGCTGTGTTAAGAGAGTAGATCTTCAATGTTCTCACCACACAAAAGAAATGGTAACTATGTGAGGTGATGGAAGTGTTAGCTGACCTACCTATAGTGGTCATCATTTTGCAATATATAAGTGTATCAAATCACCTCGCATACACTTTAAACTTCCACAGTGTTGTATATCAATAATATCTCAATAAAGCTGGGGGAAGTTTTTTAAAAAACAACGACATCAACAAAAAACAATGCAAGAAATCCCCTCAGAGTTTGCCTGACCCCTGCTTCTATGTGAGGTTAGAAAGCCAACAGGGAGAAGACCATCTCAATGAGCTTAACTAGTTCGCCAGTCTCTCAGGTGAATCAGGTTCCCCAGTCCAGGACAAGCTAGAACAGCAGGCAAAGGTGTGCTGGGGACAGGGCCAGGGCAGGGCCAGCCAGATGCCTCAGCACCTGCATGATCATGGCACCTGCTCTGGCAGCACCTTGGAGACTTGAGGAAGATAACCAGCAGACTGTTGAAATGATTCCCTTGACATTACTTACAAGTAACTGTTCTCTCACCAAACCAAAAGCAACACAGAGGGGTGGACACTCAAGATTTCACAGCTATAAAAATAGTCTGTCTTGGGAGATTGGGAATCTTTGTCCCCAGATTTGTCCATATCTACTTCCTAGAGCTGTTCCTACAGATGCACTTTGCTCCAAAAAATAAAAAGTCTGGAACCACATTCAAAGTGGATATTGTTACTAATAGACACTTATTACAAACCAAAATTGTCCATGGCTAAAACTACACCTGAAACAATTCAATTTGTAACAGATAAGAAAAAAAATGAAAGAGGGTCCCTGGCTGGTTAGGCTCAGCGGTTAGAGCATCTGCCCAGGGACCAATGAGTCTCAGGTTCGATTTCGGTCAAGGGCATGTACCTTGGTTGCAGTTGGTCCCTGGCCCTGGTCGGGGTCATGCGGGAAGCAATGTTTCTCCCTCTCTTTCTCTCTCCCTCTCCCCCTCCCACTCTGTCTGATGATAAATAGAAAAATGTCCTTAGGTGAGGATTAAAAACTAATAATAATAATAAATGGAAGAGGGGAAGAAAAATAGGAGAATGGATAGGAGAGAGAGAGAGAATCTATCTTGCTGGTTACTGGCAGACTATAAAATCTGACTCTGAAAGAAACAGATAATATTGACACTGAAATATATAGACAAAATAAAGCTAGCAATGACTAAGACACAGCGGTTCTCAACCTGTGGGTCGCCACCCCTTTGGGGGTCGAATGACCCTTTCACAGAGGTCACCTAAGACATAACAATAGCAAAATTACAGTTATGAAGTAGCAACAAAAATAATTTTATGGTTGGGGGTCACCACAACATGAGGAACTGCATTAAAGGGTCGCAGCATTAGGAAGATTGAGAACCACTGCATAGAAGGTAAAATCAAAATTTGACAAAAATTGAGACTGCAATTTGAATAATAAAATTCATAAAGGTAAATGTTTGGTGGAAAGATTTTATAACCAAAAAAAAGGAAAGGCTGAAAATTTGTACAGGAAATAAAAATGATCCTGATGAGAATAATTTTGGTGAAATGAAAACAAAGAAAAAAAAAAAAAGTTTAACTGTGCTATAACAAAAACTGACCAAGGAATTAAGTAAACCTAATGGAGTCGGAGCCTCTCTCAACCACAAATGTACTTACATGAGGTGATTCTAATTGGATTGTTTCTTGCAAATATGGACACAAAATAATCCTTGGACATGTCATACACCTATCAGCCTTCACTGCTCATCATCACAGGTGTATTAGTTTCCCTTGGCTGCTGTAACCAAGTACCACAAACTGGAAGGCTAAACCCAACATAAACTATTTTCTCACATTTCTAGAGGCTAGAAATCAAGGTGTCACAGGGCCATGTTTCCTCTGAGGACTCTAGGGAAAAATCCTTCCTTGCCTCTCCCTAACTTTTGGTGGTTGACAGAAATCCTTAGTGTTCCTAGGTTTATAGATACATCACTGTAATCTCTGCCTGTCATCACATGGCCTTCTCATTTGTGTGTCTGAGTCCAAATTTCCCTCCTTATAAGGACAACAGTCATATTGGATTTAGGGCCCACCCTACTCCAGTATGATCTCATTTTAATGTGATTACATCTGCAGAGATCCTCTTTCCAGCTGAGTTCACATTCATTGGTTCTGGGTGAACATGGATTTTGGGAGAGACCCTATTCAACCCAAATAAGCTCCAATTTAGGTCCTGTCTCAGCCCCCTTAAGCGCACCTACCCTTGCCCTCCGCAGCATAAAGGAGATGCATTTTGAATTCTGTGAACAGGAAGGTCCATTTCTCAAACTGAAAACAAATCCTCTTTACTGGGCAGAAATCACAAGGTTAGGGATACTTGTTCCATCTTCCTGAAAAGCTAAAGGGAAGAAGGTTCCCGTTTGACTGGTCCATTCCCAGTTTTGCAGGCTGGTCTCCCCTTATTCATACCTGTAGCCCTCAGCAAACCACAAAATGCACTTATGTGCCCTCCAGACAACCTATACAAGGCATTACTCAAACACACTTTGCACAAAGACCCACCAACCATAGAATATTAGAGAAACAAAAGAATACATATATATAAAACTGCAATGTTGGTTTTCTCTTCCTGGTGAGAAGACTCTCAACCTTTTATGAACAGTTATAAACATACACAGATATAAAAATCCTCCAAGATATATTTTTTAAAGTGCATTTGAACCTGTGTCTGTAGAATTCTTTTTTTTTTTTTTTTATCCTCACTGGAGGACATTTTTCCATTTTTTTTGTTTCAATAGAGTGGGAAGGAGAGGAAGAGAGAGAGAGAGAGAGAGAGAGAGAAACATCAATGTTAAAGGGACACATCGAGTGGCTGCCACCCACATGACCCAACCAGGGCTGGGGACAAACTGCAATGGAGATACATGCCCTTATCGTGAACCAAACCCAGGTCTCTCGGGACCCCAGGCCAACGCTCTAACCACTGAGCAAAACCAGCCAAGGCTAGAATTCTTTTTTTTTCATCTTCACCCAAGGATATTCCTCCATTGATCTTCAGATAGAGTGGGAGGGAGGGAGGCAGAGAGAGAGAGAAACATTGATGTGAGAGAGACACATTGATTGGTTGCCTCCCACACGACCCCAACCAGGGCCAGGGATCGAACCACAACTGAGGCTCGTGCCCTTGACTGAAGTCAAACCCACAACCCTTCAGTTCTCAGGCCAACCCTCCAACCACTGAGCCAAACTGGCCAGGGCTGTAGAATTCTTTTAGTCCTTGCAGGAAATCCTGGGGTTTCTGGGAGACATCAACCACCTTGATCAGCAAAGTGGGCAGCCAGGCTTCGAGCAGTGATGGATATTTGTGTATTTAAGAAATCCCTCTGAGTGAAAGGTTATTTTTTCTAAATAAAGCCCAATTTCATTTTCAATATTTCCTATCTTTAGTGATTGACAATGGTGTCCCTTTTATCACTAAATGTGTTTGAATTAGGATGTTTCTCAGCCATCTGTCCTATTCCAATTGATTGTTCTAATCCTTGACCAGCACCCCAGTTTTTATTACTATAGAATTATAACTTTTCATATCCAGCGATTCCTCTCCTTGATATGTTTCACCTGTTATTATTCCAAATAAACAGATATCTTTCATGACATATCCACTCTGATTTGGTTAAATATAGTTTATTCTCTAAATCCCCTCAGGACCAAGACCCTTAAAACAAAAGCCTAGCCCCTTCAGGTGGTTCACTTGCTTGGAGTATTGTCCTATACACCAAAAATGTTGCAGTTTTGATTCCCAGTCAGGGTGTATACAGGAGGCAACCAATCAATCTCTCTCTCTCTCTCTCTCTCTCTCTCTCTCAATAAACATATCTTCAGATGGGGATTTTTTTTTTTTAATTAAAAGTCTGCTTTCTGCAAAATATTCCTTTCCCAGACCATCATATATGGCTGTGCAAGTTGTATACTGCACAGCCACATAGTAACTGGTCATATCACAGGCCTATACATCATATGTTCATGTTTATAGTATCTTGTTGTTTTTCTAAAATGCACATTGATTCACATTTCTAACATCTCTGAATTTGGGGTGCACCTCACATGAAAGGCATGATATAGCTTAATTAGCAGTCTGAGAAACTATGATGTTATACCGTTCTGGCAAGACCACACAGCTATCATAGGCAGAGCTGGCATTTGAACCCAACCAGACAAGCCAGTTATAATTTAATTTAGGGGCTTGTGCCACATATTGGGAGGGAATTCTGAGTCACATCATGTGGAGAAAGAAAATGTTGACCATAGTGTGATAGCATGTGTGCAGGTGCCCCAGAGCAAGAGTATGTGGATGGGGTGGGCTTGAGAGAAATTGGAGACTGTGGCCCTGGGGAGACACCAGGACCCACCACCCCTCCCTCTCGCCCAGCTCTTCCTTCTAGAGGAGATGCGAGAGCGCAAGTTTGATGGCTTTGCCCGAACCATCCAGAAGGCCTGGCGGCGCCATGTGGCAATCCGGAAGTATGAGGAGATGCGGGAGGAAGGTGAGAGGCTGCAGGTGGGAGGTTCAGGGTGCAGACAGATGGAACTGGAAGAGCCAAGCCACAACCTCTGCTCCCCACCCTGTGTTCCCACAGCTTCCAACATCCTGCTGAACAAGAAGGAGCGGAGACGAAATAGCATTAATCGGAACTTTGTTGGGGACTACCTGGGGCTGGAGGAGCGGCCAGAGCTCCGTCAGTTCCTGGGCAAGAGGGAGCGCGTGGACTTTGCTGACTCGGTCACCAAGTATGACCGCCGCTTCAAGGTGAGGCACTAGCAAGTAGATATGTCCAGAACCCTGGCTCCAGCCTGGCACCCCCTCCAGAGGTACATCCTCACCTAGCCAGGACACACCTGCCCATAGGTATATGCTCAACAAACAGATACATCTGTCTATCAAATATGCCCTTATGTAGCCCAAACACACCTGTCCATCAGATGCATCTTCACCCGGCCAGATATCTGTCCACAATAACACACTTGCCTCACTCAGAAGTCCCAACCACAGGGCCACCCTCACTTATCCTGAACATGTCTATCCATTAGGTATACACACCCTCACCCAGTCCAAATAGACCTGTCAATTAGACACACCTTCACCTGGCCCAGATAGATATAAATGTGCACAGATACTTTCTTCTGACCTGGATACCCATGTCCAGCAGGTATACCTTCACCTATCCTGTACCTGTTCAGACAACCCCTTCTAGCCAATATACCCTTACTTGACATCCTATTTATAACCACTCATATACTTTCACATGGAGGGACACCTCACCTGACCTGCCAGCACCACCCCTCTGCCTGGAAATGATCCTCATGCCCAGGATCCCTGCCATCAGCCTCTCTGATACTGCATCCTCACAGCCCATCAAGAGGGACTTGATCCTGACGCCTAGGTGTGTGTATGTGATCGGGCGAGAGAAGGTGAAGAAGGGACCTGAGAAGGGCCAGGTGCATGAGGTCCTGAAAAAGAAGCTGGAAATCCAGGCCCTGAGGGGTGTTTCTCTCAGGTAAGGCCAGGTGCCCACCTGTCCCAGTCACCCTCGCCTGCCCCCTTGTCATTCTCAGCTGTCCTTATACTTGTTACCCCATCTGTAACCCTGATCATCTTACTTCTGCTATACATATAATCCTTTCTTGGCCCTACCTGTCACCTTCACCTGCCCCCACACTCATGATCTTGATTTGCCAACAGTATCTGTCTCCTCACCTGACTCCTTACTTAGCCCTTCTCTATTACCACTTTCTCCTGCTCCTAGCCACTTCTCCCGTTTCCCCCCACCTGAGTTACCCCTCACTTGCTCCTTACTTGACCCTCCACGTTGCATCTCACATGCCAGACTTTCTACTACTATCACCTGCCTTTCCTCCTTCCCCTCCCTCAGCACGCGGCAGGACGACTTCTTCATTCTCCAAGAAGAAGCGGCCGACAGCTTCCTGGAAAGCATCTTCAAGACCGAGTTTGTCAGCCTCCTGTGCAAACGCTTCGAGGAGGCAACCCGGAGACCCTTGCCCCTCACCTTCGGTGACACGTACGCCTCCCCCGCCAGCATCCTCAAGCTAGTCTAGCACGGCATCCCCTCTCCCTCCCCACGGAACAGCCGAACTGCTCCGCCATCCACCGGTGCCCCGTGAGGCAAGGATGGGATGGGGAGGTGACCTCCCACTTGGGAGGCGGTGCCCACACAGCTTCCTCCTCTCCCTACAGACTACAGTTCCGGGTGAAGAAGGAGGGCTGGGGTGGAGGTGGCACCCGCACCGTCACTTTCTCGCGTGGCTCCGGCGACATGGCGGCGCTCAAGGCGAGCGGCCGGGCCCTCACAGTCAGCGTGGGCGACGGGTTGCCCAAAAGCTCCAGTGAGTCTGTGGCAGAAGTGGGGGCGGAGCCAGAGTGGTGGGGCCAGCAAGAGACCAATTAAGGCTGAAAGGGCGGAGCCAGTGAGGCTGGCCAAGAGTAGGTGAGGGCCCTGGAGGGAACGGTCTAGAAAGATTTAAAGGAAGCTATCAATGACTGGGCGAGAAATGAGGAGGGGGCATGGCCAAAGAAGCAGCCGGTGAGCGGGGCTAAAGGATGCGGGCGAGGCCTGGAGTGGGAGATCCCAGAGAGCCAGCAGGAAGTGGGCCCTGGAGAAGAAGGGCCAATCCCTGGGCGGAGCCAGTGAGCCTGAGGGGCAGAGCAAGAATAGACTGGACTTGTGGGCGGGGCCAAGAGCCTGGTCTGATCTGGCCACTACTCAAATCCCTGTATCCTTTCCCCATTCCTTTTCAGAGCCTACACGTAAAGGAATGGCCCAGGGAAAACCTCGAAGATCGGCCCAGGGTCCTTCCCGAGCAGCCCCCAGACCCCCAAGAGGTGATGTGATGCCTCCACTAAGTGTCTTTCCTTGCCTCTTGTAGGCTCCATGACCTAAGCCAGACTTCCTGTCAGCAGGATCTAACTAGCAGAGATAACCACTTTCTTCTTCTCTGTCCGAAAATCTCCATAGCTGCCCATCTCTCACATAATAAAGATTAAGCTTAGTTTGGTATTCGAAGCCCTTAAGAACCCAACCCCTGCCCTGGCCAGTTTGGCTCAGCGGTTAGAGCGTCCGCCTGCGGTCGGGAGAGACAGGGGTTCGGTTCCCCCTAAGGGCATGTACCTCGGTTGCAGTTTGTCCCCGGCCCTGGTTGGTCGTGCGGGTGGCAGCCACTCGATGTGTCCCTTCACGTCGATGTTTCTCTCTCTCTCTCTTCCTCTCTCTCCCTCCCACTCTGTCTGTACAAAAAAAAAAAAAAAAGAACCCAGCCCCTACTATAACCACTGACCTCTTCTCACCTCTCCTCTTATACTCTTGTCATGCAAGCTACATCTTATTTTGCCCACTTACCAAATTTGTTCTTGCCTCCAGGCCTTTGCTGGGGCTGTTTGTTCTGCCTGCCTCCCAGATTCCCACTACACTTGAGTTCCTATACATCCTCCAAGACCCACCCCAAAAAGCCTTCCTACAGAAGGGGGTGGGAGTAAATTTTACTCCTGCAGAAGCTCTCTCTGGTCCTTCTTTGCCCCTGGGTCCCTACTTCTGGCCCAGTCACCATATTAGATTGAGAGTGTGGCTGTCTCCTCCCTCATACTGGGAATTTGGAGTCAAATCCTCCCCAAATACTCCGAGTAGCACCCTAATAAATGCCTCCATCCTTGCTCCCACCACAGGTCTGGACCACAATGGGGTGCCGCCCTCTGCCAGAGGTGGCCCCTTGCCCCTGGAGATCACTTCTGGAGGGGTATTTCAGCGACCTCCCCAAGGCCCTCCACCCTCAGCCCTGAGGGCCAGCAGATGTCCCCGGGCACGGCCCCCCTCTAAGCACAACACAGAATTCCTCAATGTGCCTGATCAGGGCATGGCCGGGTAGGTGGAGTGGGAGGGCAGCCCCAGGAGGTGAGCAGGCAGTGGAGGTCTCTAAGGCTATGATGAATGCCCCTTGTGCCCACAGCATGCAGAGAAAGCGCAGCGTGGGGCAACGGCCGGTGCCTGGTATAGGCCGACCCAAGCCCCAGCCACGGACACATGGCCCGCGGTGCCGGGCACTGTACCAGTACGTGGGCCAAGACGTGGATGAGCTGAGCTTCAACGTGAATGAGGTCATCGAGATCCTCATGGAAGGTGTGTATGCTGGGACAGAGGTGAAAGGTGTCAGAACCCTGACACAGCCAGGCAGCCACCTTTACTCCATACCCCTCTGGTGGGAGAACAGAGGTGGCCAGCTAGCTCCCAGGCCCAGCTAGGAATACCCTCTTCTGAGCCAATGGCTGCATAAGCTAGAGGCCTTGGGTGGAGGTCACCTCCTAAGCCACCTGGGAGCCTCATTTTTGTTACCTATCAAACATAGGGATAACAGTAGAATCTCAGGGACTCCTTGTGAGTAGGAAATAGGCCATGTCTGGGTGGCCCAGGCCACCTCCTAATTTAGTCCCCTGGGCTGCCCCCAGAAGGGCCTGGGACTTAACAGCACCCTCTGCAAGTGGGTGGGGAAGATCCATTGAGGTCATTCCTGGGTTCACCATAGGGATTGAGGGGAGGAGCCTGTTGGAGGAGATGAGGGAAGAGTGCAAGCAAATGGTCTAGAAAATGGAGTGTGAACCAGTGACAAGGAAAGACCATGTGTGCATCTCTCCCTTCTTTCCTTTTCATCTGTCGCTCTCTTTTCAGCCTCTGCCTTATGCCAGGCCAGTGGAAGTAAGACAGATGCTGAGCCAGTATGAAGGTTTCCTCTGGGATGGGATGGGTGGTGCCTCACACTCTCTTCTCTCCCACAGATTCCTCAGGCTGGTGGAAAGGCCGGTTGCATGGCCAGGAGGGCCTGTTCCCTGGAAACTATGTGGAGAAGATCTGAGGGGGATGGCCAGGATTCTGCCATTTCCCTTGGCTGCATTAGCCAGAAGGTCCAGTCCTGTGGCTACCAGCCCTGCCCAGACTCTGGGTGGGTTTGAAGGTCACCACTGCAGCCAATCCTGGGCCCTGGCCTCCCCTGTGTCATACCTGTTTCCTTCTGTGTCACACAGGGCTTAAGCAAAGCCTACCTCCCAGCTGCCTTGTGAGTATGAAATGAGCTATGTCCTATCAGCAAAGCATGGGGCAAAGTGGGGAGGCCTTGACAAACATGACCTCCCTTCTTCTCCACTGAGGCAATAAATGTTTGCCAGGTAGAAGGGTGAACTTGCCCAAGATTCCACAGAGCCAAGCCTTAAAAAGCTTGAGTTTGTCCACTCGCCAGCTTCCGGAAGCTACATCCCAGCTTTTCTTCAGAAAATGGTCTAGTTGATCTTGTCAGATCTGAATCTGCAGTCCCCAAACCCATCTTGGACCTGACTGGACCCTGAGGAGAGAGGGAGATCCCACCTGCCCCTCCCCCCTCCATGGCCACCCCTTGTCCCAACCCCCCACCCCATGTCTATGCCTTCTTAGCCCTCATTCACATGGGATCAAGACAGGTTCTGACATTCCAGGCCCTGGCTTTCTGCACTTAGGGTCACAGGTGAAAGGTCCTCTGGCAACTTGTCTCCCCAGCTGTCTCCAAACCCATGCTGAAGTCTGAGCCTTTGAGAACTCATTACAGGTACAGCTGGAACCAGCTGGAAATCCTGCCATCGTCTTAGCCTAAGGATTCTGGCTTTCCAGGTGGACACCTCCTCTATGGGTGGGGTCAGGATCCGCACCCTCTCCCTTCTGCACCTACCTGAGGAATCTGAATATGGCTAGAAAAAATATCCCAAGGTTGCAACTGGATTTCAACAGCCTTTTCATTAGTCAGTTGTTATACAAAGGCTTTTAGGCAGTCCCTTGAATGTCCCTGTTTCCTTCCATCTCTGATTTTCTCACTCTGCCCAACCATTATTGTGTATGTCTCTTGCTGCAAGACGTAGATGTGAGAAAAGACTGAGGGGAGGACAACCCTCATGAGCCAACGACTTTATCAGCTGGGCATTTCCTGGTGCTGAAGAGGAAATCAGGGCTTCATTTCCCTTCTCTGATCTGCCCTCAAACTCGCCCTGCAGCCTGCCTCCATTCCCAGCACTTTGTTTGGTATACAGCCCTGTGGCCCCACTACCACTGTGGCAGGCACCACACATTCAAGAAGTAGGACCTTCTGGATAGGATGGATGAATGAGGTTTGGGTGGGGAGCTGAGTACCAAGAAGGGAATGGGTTTTAAATATTCTAATAGAAGCTTCTCACATCTAGGTTACAGACTCTGCAAACCTGTCAGCTTGGCCCCGCCCACACAACCCACATCCTGTTGACTCCTTTACAAAATTTCTTAGGTCCAGCCCCTCCTTTCCCTTCCTTGGGTCCCTGTCCTTTCTGAGGCCTCACCCCACCCTTCCCCAGATGGCACGAATCACCCCTGCACACACAAACACACCTCCACCCTACATCAAAATGATCTGTTTTTTAAGTTTTTAACTGTATCAAAGATAATCAAAAGTTTTAAAATTCAAACTGCGCAAATGTGTGAAAAATCTGTCTCTCTCCCTAAAAAATCTGTTCTCCTCCCCAGTTTTTAATGTCTCCTTCTAATGGTGTTCTCTGCATATAAAAGCACACAGGTGCCTGGGCCGGCATGTCTCAATTGATTGGAAAGTTGTACAATACACTAAAAAGTCACAGGTTTGATTCCCGGTCTGGGCGCATACCCAGGTTGCAGGTTCAATCCCTGGCCCTGGTCAGTAAGAATGCATGCAGGAGGCAACTAATCCATGTTTCTCAAATTGATGTTCCTCTCTCTCTCTCCTTCTCCCTCTCTCTAAAAAAACAATGTACATGTCCTCGGGTGAGGATTTTTTTTTTTAATTTTTTTCCTTTCTTGATTTTAGAGAGACAGAAAGGGAGAGGGAGAGCTACAAACATCAATGAGAGAGAACATCAATTGGCTGCCTCCTGCATGCCCCCACTGGGGATCAAGCCCACAACCTGGGCAAGTGCCCTCTGACCAGGAATCGAACCAGCGACCTCTTGGTGCATGGGTGGATACTCAACCAGTGAGCCACACTGGCTGGCAGGGTGACGATTTTTAAAAGTACACAGGTACATCTTATGTACACAGATGGCATTACATTGAACATAGTCTACACATGCCTAGAACTCAGACACCTCTTAAATGGTTAAATAATATAGTATAGAGCTGACATCAAAAACCCACTTCATGCCCTGGCCCGTTTGGCTCAGCAGTTAGAGTGTTGGCCTGCAGACCAGAGAGACCTAGGTTCAGTTCCTGCTCAGGGTATGTACCTCAGTTGCAGTTTGTCCCCGGCCCCAGTTGGGGTTGTGTGAGTGGCAACCAGTCGATGTGTCTCTCTCACATCGATGTTTCGCTCTCTCTCTTCCTCCCTCTCTCCCTCAAGCTCTATATAAAGATAAATGCAAAAATGTCCTTGTATGAGGATTAAAACAAAAAAATACCCACTTAACTGTCCCCCAATAGCCCATCTTCCAAAGGACACCAGGGATCAGATGGTGTACCTCCCCCTGCTGAAAATTCATCAGTGTCTAGAACAGAAACCACATCCGGCTGGTGTGGTTCAGTGGTTGAGCATCGACCCATGCACCAAGAAGTTGCTGGTTCGATTCCTGGTCAGGACACATGCCCAGGTTGTGGGCCCGATCCCCAGTGTGGGGCATGTAGGAGGCAGCCAACCAATGTTCTCTCTCATCGATGTTTCTATCTCTCTCCCTCTCATTTCCTCTCTCTCTAAAAAAAAATCAATAAAGGAAAAAAAAAAATAGACTAGAAACCACACTGCACTCTCCAGTTCACAAGGCCCTGCATGACCTCTTCACCAGGTTCGCTTTCTGACCTCCACATCCGACCTCCACTCTGCTCCAGCTGCGCACTGATGTCACTGTTTCCTGAAAAAGACAAGTTTGGCCCTGGCTGGTTTGGCTCAGCGGTTAGAGCGTTGGCCTGCGGTCCAGAGGGACCCGGGTTCGATTTCCTCTAAGGGCATGTACCTGGGTTGCACTTTGTCCCCGGCCCTGGTTGTGCGGGTGGCAGCCACTCGACATGTCCCTTTCACATCAATGTTTCTCTCTCTCCTCCTCTCTCTCCCTACCGCTCTATCTGAACAAAAAATGGAAAAATGTCCTCAGGTGAGGATAAAAAAAAAAAGAGTAAGACAAGTTTGTCCCTCCCCAACTCAGGACATTTGCACCAGCTACCTACCCACTCTTTCCAGAGTGCTCTGGCCCCATGACCTTCCATTGGCTCACGCCTTCCTATCAGGCAACAGCTCAGAAATCCCCTCACGGAGAAGCTTCCCTGACCCATCACTGTCACATTCTTCTATTTTTTTTTTTTTTTTTTTGCTTTGTAGTATAACCTAAGATCATTTTCTGCATTTGTTGTTGTCTATTTCCCCATTTTAAAATATGAATGGCCTGGCCCAGCTGGTGTGACTCAGTGGATTGAGCTGTTGTCCCATGGACGGAGAGATCCCCAGTTTGATTGTGGGTCAGGGCCCATGCCCAAGTTGTGGACTCAATCCCCAACAGGGGGCGTGCAGGAGGCAGCCAACAGAGGTTTCTCTCTCACACATGGATGTTTCTATCTCCTCCATCTCTCTCCAAAATATCAATAAAAACATATTTTAAAACAAACAAAATGAAATGTGAACAGCCTCTGAGGACAGGGATGTTTGTCTGTACTGTTCATCTCTGAGTTCCCAGAACCTAGCATACAGTAGGTTAAATAGGTGACTCCTTCCACGCTGGTACACACCTATTCTGACAGTTTGCTTACTTCCCCTCCTTTTCCATCACAACAGACCCAGTCCAACTTCAGAACTAAGTGCATTGAAAATTTTGACTACCACCCTGGCCAGGTAGCTCAGTTGGTTGGAGCATGGACCCTATACTCCAAGGTTGAGGTTTCCATCTCTTTAGGGGCATGTACAAGGGTCAATCAATGAATGCATGGATGGGTTTAACAACGATCTCTCTCCTTCCCTCTCTCTAAAATCAATCAATAAAATTTTTAAATGTGTGCTTATTTATTTTAGAGAGGAAAGGAGAGGGAGAGACATCAATGTGGGAGAGAAACACTGATTGGTTGCCTTCTGTAGGCACCCCCACCAGGGATCATACCTGAAACCTGCGCCATGTGCCCTGACGGAGAATCAAACCAGTGATCTTACCGTGCATGGGACAATACTCAACCAACTGACCCACATCAGCCAGGGCAATAAATAAAACTTTTTAAGTTTACGACCACTGCCAATTTCCTTCCAGAAAGGGTGTCCACTCAACCCGACCTCTTCACAAAAGAGAATTGCTGTTTATCGTCTTTCCAGGGCTGGTGACGGGACGGAATGGGATGAAGATGTCCATTTCACAGACGAATACACAGGCCAGGAAAGATTTTAATCCCAGATCTCAGCACACAGACTTGTTAATAATTACTCTCACTTGCAAGTACGTCCCAGAATCTGTTCTGTGATTTAAACAGGAACCCAGATCGCAGGCCCCACCCCCTCACGGAGCGCCCGGCGCAGGTCCCGCCCGCGCTCTCGCGAGAGCCGAGAGGCGGAAAATGGCGCGGACGTGATCGCGACCCGGCAGCCGCCCAGGGAGTCGCCGCAGTCTCAGCCGGAGCTGCAGGAGCTGCGGGAACAAGAGGTGTAGTCGGGCCGAAGATGGTGAGCGCGGCGCCGGGGGCGCGGGCGCGGCGAGCCAGCGGGGACTGGCGGGGAGCGGTCCTGTCGCGCACACATCCTCCGGCCGACCCCGCCCCCACATCCGGGCCCTTGCCCAGCCACTAGTCATTTGGCGAGCGCCCTACCCCCTACTTCCGGGCCTGGCTTTGACTGAACCACCCCCACTGGGCTCGAGCTCCGCCCCTGTTCTTTATACAACCGGGTCCCCCAGCATCTCCAAGGTCTCCTGCACAGCTCCAGCCCGGAGGAGATATCTCCGTCCTCAAACAATCCACTTGCCCACTTCCGGCCCCACCATCATCTGCCTATCCCCGCCCTGTTCAGAGTCCCGCCCTCATAGTCTGTCCCGCCCACTCCCTCTAGGCCACGCCCCTGCCGTGTAACGGGTCTCCCACCTTCCCAAGTGCGGGAGGGATGCTGCTTTTCTATAAGCACTTAATTCCTGACAGATGTCCACTTATGCTTTTGGAACACTTCCCAACTAGCTCCCTGTCTGGGGATGAAGACAAGACTTAGGAGCTCAGTTCACCCTCATACCCTGCCCTCCCTTGATGGTAACTCCCTAGGATGGGGGCTGACTGGGTACTGTTAGGAGGCATTTGCAGCTTCAGGAATGCACAAAGGGTCTTTGTGGGGGAGGATACCCTGGCTGGCCCCAGCAGGCCCTGGGCCCAGAGGGGTTCTTCCCATTTCTTTTTTCCACCAGGAGGAGGAACCCTCTGGGCCCATCCCAGACATGCTGGCCACTGCAGAGCCCAGCTCCAGTGAGACCAACAAGGAAGTATTGTACCCAGTCGTGGGTGCTGCAGCCACCTCCTTCTCCATGAGGGAGGAGTCAGGTCCTGAGCAGTCAGTCACACACCCAGTGTGGGAACGTGGAGGGCCTGGAGGGGCCCAGCAGGGTGCCTCCTCAGTCCCAGACAGTGGCCCACCTGGCCCTGGACCCAGCCTTGGCCCAACCAGCACAGTCTCCGGGACCAGTGAGGACCTGCGACCTCCCAGGCGACGCCCACCACCAGGTGACCTGTGATGGGGCCTTCTGTGGGATCACAGGCCCTGGAACAATAGCAGTGGGGAGTGCAGAGTATCTCTGTACTTGGGGGTTATCTAGGGAGAATCACCATTTACTGAGCACCAAGTGTGTGCCAGGCCAACTCAGCCCCTGCTCTCTGGCAGCTCAGTCTGATGGATGAGGCAGATGGTAAAGGCCCCAGAAGGAAATCATAGGGTAATTCCAGCCTCTCTGGGGCAGACCCTGGGCAGCATGGTGGGATGGGGGGTGTGGGGATGGGTGACCCCTATGTATCCATCCTACAGGAAAGCAGATACCCTGCTCCAGTCCTGGCTGCTGCCTCAGTTTCCCAAGCGTTCGTGACTTGGCACAGCATCTTCGTACCCACTGCCCACCCACACAGTCCCTGGAAGGTAGGGCCAGGGTAGGTGGTGGGAGGCAGGCAGAGTTCCCAGGCTGACCCTTGGCCACCCGACTCCACTCCTCTGTTCTCCATCCCTGCCCTGCCAGGCAAGCTCTTCCGCTGTTCTGCCTTGAGCTGCACCGAGACCTTTCCCAGCATGCAGGAATTGGTGGCACACGGCAAGCTGCACTACAAACCCAATCGCTACTTCAAGTGAGACCCTGATCACCCCAACCTCCTTTGGTCCTCGGTGACCAGGCCCCAGGCAGCTCCTCCCTTTCCTGTTGTGGTAGCCAGTACCTGGGAGTTCAGGCCTTTCCACTTCCTAGTCGGGGGAGGTTTGGGGTGGGGTTTGGGTCTGGAAGTGGGTGTGGCCTCGGGCAATCCCTGCTCTTACCTGCCCTAGAGAGACTAGAGCAAGACCCAGGGACCCGGAAGGGGTGGGGCTCATGTGAGTGTGGTTCCTTCTAGTTTCTCCTTACCTCCCAAGAGGAAAGCTGATCACCTAAATCAAGATTGAGACATCTTTCTCGTTTTCCCAGGGCTCCGACCCAGAGGGGTTCTGAAGGCCCACCGTAGGGGGCACTTAGGGCAAATTCCGCCTCCACTGATGGGAGATCTGTGATTTGGGTCCCAGCTCCCTTATTACGTTATCGATAGGCCCCTCCCCGTTCCCCGGGAGACCCAGCCCAGCCCTGTGCCCGCCCCCAGGTGTGAGAACTGCCTCCTGCGCTTCCGCACGCACCGCTCACTCTTCAAACATCTGCATGTTTGCGTTGAGCATGCGCAGAGCCCAGTCCCGCCGCCACCCCCTGCGTTGGACAAGAGGCCATCCGCGTCCGAGCGCCCCAGGGAGTTCGACTCTGCGTCGGCGCCGGGTTTGCAGTTCCCGCTGCTTGAGCCCTTCACAACCCCCGCCCCTGCCCCCACCGGGCCCTTCCTGCCCTACATGAACCCTGCGTCCTTTGGCCTAAGTCCCCCGCGCCTGCGCCCCTTCCTGGCCGCCGCACCTGGGCTGCCGGCCTCCAGCGCCGCCATCTGGAGAAAGAGCCAAGGTGAGTGTAGTGGAGGGGCCACCAGAAGGGTGGGCTGGGTTCCCTATGATTTCTGACCTTGACCCGCCCATTTACCGCAGGTGCCGGTGGCAGTCCTCGAAGACCCCAGGGCGGCTCCGACGCGCCCTCAGGTGCGTGCAGGTGACCACCAGGGTGGGATGGAGGGGGTTTCTTTCCTGCGCCCTGCCAGGCCCAGGAGATGCTAGGAGGCAACAGTGCCAGCCCCGAAATACAGGATTTTGCCTTAAAAATTACCGGCCCCTGGCGCCTTCATCTGCACCGGCGTTTCCGTGTAAAACTCGCACTCTGCGGGGGTTCCGGGGATGGTAATGGGGGACACAGAGAAGTCAGGTTCAATGCCCCTAGTTTCAGGGCGGAACACACCCGGGGGAAATGGATCAGCCAGGCCAGACCCTCGGCGCCCACGAGCTGATGGGGAGTGGAGAAAGGTCCGACATTCCCTCGCCCATGACCACCGTCCTCGGGGGGTGGACAGGACTGGGGCCGGGACTGACAGGGTCCTGCCTGCCCGCAGGGCACGCGGCCCCAAGCCGCATCTTGTGGGAGCACACGCGTGGCCGCTATTCATGCATGCAGTGCGCCTTCTCCACGGCCTCGCGGCCCGCCATGACCCTACACCTGGAGGACCACCGTCCCATCGCCCTGGGCGCCAGGGCAGCCACGCCCCGATGTCCCAGCGGGTAAGGCCTGGGTGCGGGAGGGTGGGGAGGACGCCCCCCCCAGCCCCTGAGGCGAGGGGTGGGGCCGAGGCTTAGCCACCTCCTCCTCTGCCCCACCCAGACCCAGCCCGCTTGCATCCAAGGTGTCGCTGCTGCTGTCAGAGGGGGAGTGTCCAGTTTTCTTGCCGCTCTAAACCCTGCCGAATAGAGGGTGGGTCATGAGGTGTGGGTAGTTTTGTAATGTTAGGGGGGGGCCTGAAATGAATGGGGTGTGGGGACAATAAAAGAGGCGCAATGAACTGGCCTTTGCTGTGTCTGGGTTCCCTGCCCTCTGATGCACAGCGGCCTAATGATCTTGGGCACCTCCTACTTTGGGAGACACAGGCCTCCCCTCACCGCCCACTTGTACCCCACACCTCCCCCCTCACTTCAATCCCTTGACCCAGTCTCCAGCTCAGTACTGTCACTGCCCACTGGCCTGTCCTACCACTCCCAGAAAACAAATGGGATGAAAGTTTCTGGTTTCTTTTTGTTTTGTTTTTTTAATTGAGAGTCTTGGGAGTCAGTGGGGAGGACAAGCAGGGAGGCTGATCCTGAGAAAGTGCTGAGACTGGCCTTGCTGGAGCCCTCCAGGTCCTTAGGCCATTGATAAATCCCAGGGAGATGACAGGATGGAGGGCAATGCCAAGGCCCTCAGAGTTGGGGGCACTGTAGCAGGTTGGGACTCAGGCCTCATCCTTGTTCTCCTTGATTCTCCCCCTGCCCTAGCTCTGAGGAGGAGAGTGAGTCAAGGTCAGCCCTGGAGCCCTGGCCAGTTTGGCTCAGCGGTGAGAGCATCAACCCGCTGACCAGAGAGTCACTGGTTCTATTCCGGTCAAGGGTATATACCTCAGTTGTTTGGTCCCCGGCCCTGGTCAGGGTTGTGCGGGAGGCAACTAATCCATGTGTCTCTCACATAGATGTTTCTCTTTCGCTCTCCTGCTCTCCCCCTCCCACTCTCTCTGAAGATAAATGGAAAAATAGCCTCAGGTGAGGATTTAAGAAAAAAAAGGTCAGCCCTGGAGAGCCTGGGCTCCCTTCCCTCCTTATCCCTCCTCCATTCTGGTCCTCATCTTCCATTCCTTCATGGGAAGTCAGGCCTGGGCTAGGGTTCTAACTTTGGTGCCACACTGCTTCTGAGCCCTGCTGTCACCAAAATCTTGTGGGCCAAACCTCCTGGTGTGGAAGTTATTGGCAGCCACCCCTGAGGCTGGTTTTACCTCCTGCATCTTGCTCCCTTCCGGCTCCTTGGTACTCCTAGCCCAGTCTTCATCCCTCTACCCTCCCTGGGGGAACCCGAAGCAATTCCTCCCACCCTTTCCCCCAGTTTGAACATCCTGAAAATGGGTCTCTTCTGATTGTGCCCCTTCCCTTCCTATACCCTTCAGTGGCTCCCCACAGCCCTCTAGATGAAGATCCTGTTCTCCTAGTAGCCCACAAGGCCCCATCTTGAACCTCCTCATTCCCTCCCAAGGTGACACAAACCATCTTCTCCCTCCTATTCCTCTTCCTCCTCCTCCTCCTTGGGAACACAGATATCCTGTGAACAAGCACCTGAGTGAGCACTTCCAGGCTCCTGCTGAGGTGGTTGTTACTCAACATCAGCTGTGGAATTAGATGGGCCATCAAGGGATAGGGCTCCAGGGTCCCCTGAGCTTCCCCTTTCTCGGCTAGAAGCCTTGTAGCTGTAACTGTGGCCCTGGGGGAGATTCAGCTTCCTTACATCTCACTTGTGTAGTTCTTACAATGAGTGTCTTGATGTTCATCCCTGGAGTCCTCATGAAGATTCAGAGGGACTGAGGAGACAGGGAGGGGGCTTGGGAAGTGTTTGCAAGTGATTCACATCCCTCCAACCACCAAGCCCATGGCTACCTGGACCTTTTCAAGAACCTAGGGAGGAGGTGGGGCAGGGTCAAAAGGCCCATTTTACAGATAGAGAAGGTGAGGCCAGGGAGGATAAGCTGACTGAGCCCTGACATTCTAGCCAGGCCCAGTACTAAGTCACTCACTGATTCTGCACCACCCTGGGAGCTAGGCATTTACTACCAATAAGAAAACCCAGGCAGCAGGGCCCCAAAGGCATCCTCCCCTTTTTCCACATTCCCAAGGCCCCCAGACACCCTGGCCCTAGTCCCAGGTTTTCCTCCATCTCCAGGGTATGCCAGCTCCCAGTAGTTTTCCTTCCCCATCAAGTCCCTCATTCAGCCAACCCCAAATCCAGGTGATGCCACTTCCCAGTCTGCCTGGAATTTTCCAGAGACCCAGACCCAATATCTTGGTCCAGATACACACCACACCCACCCCATCACTCACATATAGCTACCCCTCCCATGAGTGCAAAGAGCTCACAGCTCCTGCTGCCCTCTGGAGTCAGTGGGATCTCTGTCCTGAGGCCTAGGGAGCTGGGTCACGACCTGGCCTGGGCACCCTGACCACTCCAAAAACTACTTCCTCCCTTTCCCCCCCCAACTCTCTTGCAACCTTTTGTCTGCTTGCCTGAGAAGCATTACTGCTTCCAATGTTCCTTCTAGGTTCCCTTAGCCCCTGCCCTCCCTCTGGCTAACTTATGACCCCACAGAGGGTCCACCTACCCTACCTTAACTCCAGGATGCCTGAAAGCTGAGTCCTCTTAGTGCCCTAGAATGCCCAGCAGAGGGCGCCCAGGAGTGTCTTAGGGAGAATGAGTATGCGCAGGCAGGTTGGCAGGCAGGTGGGCGAGAGACTAAAGGTTCAGGTTAAGCAGGCTGAGCCATTCCAGGTGGCTTAAGTCCCCGTAATGCCAGCCAGGTGCCCGTCCACCACCTGGCAGTTGTGCAGTGCCTGCTCAGTTACCTTCACCTGACTGGGAAGGGGGAGGTGAAGGCTCCTAACCCCGGTCCCAGCACCCTAATCCAGGGCTCCCTACAACTCCACGCAGCCCCAGGATCCACCACCATGTGCTCAGTCCTCACCGAGGACTGAGCTGCCCCGGCTGCACCGGCTGCCCCCCCCCCATTAGGGAAGCCAGGTGCACTGCCCCTATCTTTTGCAAAAGGGCTAAGTACACCAGCTTGGTTCCCCACACGCGCTCAGAAAACCCACAGCTCCCTAGCTCACAGAGTTCCACACACTTGCCCCAACGAACCCCTACCAGCACCTTTAACTCCCCAAGGCAGACACTGTACCATGCTAACTTCTCCTGGCTTCCGGTTCCAGAGCTCCAAATGCAGTCACAGGTCCACGTTCATCGCTTCGTGCCTCCAGAAAGGTGCCAAACACACAAAGAGGACTGGGGGTCATATGCCCCCTAGGGACTGTGCCAGGAGCCTGCCAGCTCTCCCCACAGGGCTCAACCAGGGAGGGGCTCTCCAAACTCCAGAGTTCTAGCTATGAAATTGTCTACACCCAGCAGCCTTTCCAGAGCGTGGGGAGTCATTGGCTGTCATTCATTCAGTTTTTTGTTTGTTTTTTCTTTGATTTTAGAGAGGAAATAAGAGGGGAGAGAGAGAGACGCATCAATGAGAGAGAACATCAATTGGCCGCCTCCTGTATGCTCCCACTGGGGATTTGGCCCACAACCTGGGCATGTGCCCTGACCAGGAATTGAACCGGCGACTTCTTGGTGCATGGGTCCAGGCTCAACCACTGAGCCACACCAGCCGGGCTCATTCAGTCCTTTAACTTACCTTGTATGCTCTCAGCCAATCATTCTCTTGTTCTTTCATTCATTCTTTCCGTCACTTACCAAACACTGTGAGGATCGGTCAGTCAGTGACCAGCTATGGTGGCTGCTCCTAGAGACCCAGAAAGGACCCCAAAACTTCATTATCCCTGGCCTCCTGGGACCCCCATTCAGAGTGAGACCCACATCTGGAAATGTGATTAAGGATGCATGACTGTGTGCAGGGATAGGGATGCACAGGCCTAGAGGTTCCAGAATCCTCAGGCTGTGCTCTTAAAGCAGACATACAAACAGGCAGTCATTTCCAGCTGTACTGCCTGTGGCCTTTATGACAGGGCTGGCAAAAGAAGGACTCCTGCTGGGAATGCAAGTCCTCAAGACAGAAAGAGCCTCTTTCTCCGTCTCAACGGGATCTTTCTGGATCCTTTTGGAAACAATTTATGTCCCTGCTACTCCAGGTGTGATCCTAAACCATCAGCATGGGCATTACCTGGGATGTGGAATCTGAGGCCCTACCACTAACAGGCAGACCCTGCATTTTAACAATGGGGAGTGTATGTGACTGATGGGCACTGGTGCTTCTCAATTAGTTGCACCTTAGAGTCACCCAGCAATGTCTAGGAATGGCTACACTCAGACTGACTAAGTCAGAATCTCTGGGGAGCTTCTCTGTAAATTCCTCAAGCAATCCCAATGCATGGTCAAACTGAGAACCAGGGCTCTGCACTCTCCCAATGGATTGACCCCCTGAGGACCTTATCTGGCTGGGCCTCACAGCCTAACTGCGCTGGTCTTGCCTACTACCTTTACCCCCTCTTCGTTGGCCTCTCGGCTGTTTTGATTTTCCTCCCACCCTCTGTCCACTGGGAACCTGGGATGTCTTCAGACTCTCCCCTCCCCAGGGCCAAGGCCTTGGGTACTACCCACCTACTCACTCCCAAATCTGCCATCCCAGTGGGCCATTCACAGCCCTCTGTGACATCTGCCCTGCTACAGGGCAGTCCTGCTCAGAACTGGAAAGTGGACAACAGGGAAGTGTTAAAATGAAGGCAGATGAGGAGCAAAAGGGCCTCACCCATCACACTCACTGCACTCCTGGGTCTCCTGCCCAGAGCAGACTATGCCTCCTCTCCACTGAGAACTCCCCTTCCTGTGAAGGCCCTGGTTGAAATTGGCCTTCCCCTGCCTCTATTAGCAGGAGGTCCTCAGGGTCTGGCACCAAACCCTCTCTGGAGCCCAGAGGTTAGCAGGGCATGTGGTAGGACTGAAGGGGTTGGTGGATAGCAGAAAGCCAAGAAATTAGTGACTGTGTTGTGAATATGCTGACCTCCAATGCATGAAGTGCAGAGACAGTAGCAGGCAGGTCAGGAACTCAAGAAAGTGCTGGATAGGATCTGGGGACAAGCCCAGGCTGTCCCCGCCTCCTTTCCTTCCTCCTCTGCCCTCTCCACCCATGGGGCCTGTGGAGCAGAAGCCACAGTCACTTCCTGAAAGCAACAAACAGCCCCAGCTCAGGTCCCACTCTCACCGTGATCGATCACCTGCCTGCTACCATGGTGAGTCCCCAAGTCCTGGGAGAGCCCCTGCTGGCTGGAGGCAAGGGGTGCCATGGGTGGAAATTGGGGGGCATATTCCAAGAATACAGCAGCAGAGGAAAGCCCTCTGAGAAATGGGAATGACCAACACAAAGGCCCAGAGATGGAAAGCAGCCAGGACATTTCTGGGACAGTCCAAGCTCCAAGGGGACTGTGGCCCAGGCTGTGACTGGGACTATAAGCAGGACTGGTGGGGCTGTTCAAACAACTCCCTTCCCCCGAGATCAGCATGAACAGCAACCTGGTAACGGACAGCCAGGGTTAGTACAGGGGATTCCTGTGGTTGACAGAATGGGTCAGGCACCCACTGCCTGCCCCCACCCCAGCCCATTACCCCAGGCATGACCACCTGGCCCTGTGGGTCATCTGGGAGCCCTTGCTCCAACCCACTGGGTAAGGGGCCTTTCACAGAGGCATTTGAAGCTGGAGTTGCAGTCTCTTCTCATTATCTGGATAGGAAAGTGAAGCATAACCAAGGGGAGAGGTCATGTGTTTCTGGCCTTCCCTTCCCTCCCAATCTCCTTGACCCCAGTTGAAGCCAGGCTTGGGGGGGTCTGTGGCAGGGCCACCTCTGGAGAACTTGTCATTAGAGCAGGCCTGGCCTCATTTGTGCATCTACCGATATATAACTAATGGGATGGGATGGTCAGCACTGTACCTGGAACAGACTTCATGTGCCATAAATGGCACAGTGCCTGACCATGACTGTGCTTGGTTGACAGTCTGCCTACCATTTCTCATGGGTATTGTTAACTGACTGTCCCCAACCATCAGCATGGGCATCTGGGACTGTGAGAAATCCTGTACCCACATTTGCCTCTAGGTCCCCAAGTGTCTGCATCCATCTATGTGAAACTGGATGTGGCTGAGTAAATGCCTGACTTTGTGCCCTCTATGTTCTTTATTTCAATGAATATTTACTGAGTACCTACTGTGTGCCAGGTACTGGAGGACAGCAATGAATGAGACAAGTCCCTGCGCACACATTTAAAAAACAATATAAAAATAATACATGGTGGCAGGTACCAAAAGAAAAATCATGCAGGTTGGGGACTCAGAGTTAACAGGCTTCCTTTGGCTGCTGTGGGGGAACTAATCAGAGATGGAAGGTGGGCCGGAGTCCAGGGAGGAGGCAACGGGAAGGTGCATCAGGTGGCTGCCAGTGCTGCAGACAGTGAGAAGTGGTTGGATTCTGGATGTATTTTGCAATTAAAACAGAAGGGACTAGAGACATGGGGGTGAAAGAATAAGAGGGAAGGGGTGGTATGTGTCTGTGGCCATGTCCCTGTGTCTCCATGTTGGTCTCTCTACAATTCCTGTGTATATCAGTCTCTGACTGACTGACTGTGTCCCCTAGGGGAGTCATCAGGACTTCCGGAGCCTTCAAGCAAAGTTCCAGGCCTCTCAGCCTGAGACCAGTGAACTCCCCCCAAAATCCCCGAAGCCTGAGTTCAAGAAACTCCTGAAGAAGTTTCCACAGCCTGAGCCCAGTGAGCACTCTAAGAAGTTTCCGCAGCTCGAGTTCAGTGCAGTGCCCAGAAAGCCGCTACAGCTTGAGTTTGCTGATCTCCCAAGGAAGTCCCCACAGACCGAGTTCAGTGCAGTGTCCAGGAAGCCCCCGCAAACCGAGTTCACTGATCTGCCCAAGAAGCCCTTTAAATCTGAGTTCAGTGAACTCAAGAAGTTCCCACAGCTCGAGGCCACTGTGTTCTCCAGGAAGCCCTTGCAGCCTGAGGTCAGTGAGGCCACTCAGAATGCCTTACAGCTGGAGCCCAGTGCACTTGCCCAGAAGCCCCAGCAGCCTGACCTCAGCAACCCTACCAGGCCCCCCACAGAACCCAAATTCAGTACATTCCCTAGAAAGTTCTGGCAGCCCGAGCCCAATGAGGTCACCACAAAGCCCTCAAAGGCCGAGTTCAGTAACTTTCCAAAGAAGCCCCCAAACCCTGAGTTCAGAGAGCCCCAGCAGCCTCAGATGCCCCACCCCAACTTTCCACAACCTGACTTCAGTGCCTTTCCAAAAAAGACCCCATCACCTCAGCTGAGTAACCTCCCCAAAAAGTCCCTGCAGCCTGAGACTGGTGATCTCACCAGGACGTCCTCAGAACCCGATGTCTGTGTGTTCCCCAAGAGGCCACGGCAATCTGAATTTAAAGCACTTTCTAAGCCTCTGCAGCCCAAGCTGGGTAGCCTCCCCAGGACATCCTCAGAGCCTGAGGTCAGCCTACACCCCAGGAAGTTTCTACAACCTGAGAGCCAGGGGACCCCCCACAAGTTCTCACAACCCGAGCCCAGTGCCCTGCCCAAGAAGCCCCTGCAGGTGGAATTCTTTAGGGATCCTTCTAGAAAGCCCCTACTGCCTGGCTTCGTTTCAGAGAGTTCACTGCCCACTGCTGTTGAGGGCTCCAGCACCAGATTCCCACTTAGCCCGGGGTTTAGAGCCAGGCAACAGAGGTCAGGAGTTCTCACTCACAGTGGAGTGACAAGGCCGGGCCTCAAACCCGGCCACCCACCCCGGCAGAGGCCTCTGCCTCCAGTCAGCAGCCTGGGACCCCCTCCAGCCAAACCCCCACTGCCACCTGGCCTCAAGGATATCCAGAAGTTTCAGATACCTTCAGCAGCAGCCACAGGTGGGTCAGGGTACCCCAGGTAGAAAAGAGGGAGGCAAAGTCTCCCTGGATGTGCCTGCCTCCCTTCCGCTCTCATCTTTCCACAGCTTTGTGGAAGACCCGCTCTTCTGCTGGAACTCACTTCCAGGCCCGACAGCCTAAGGCTATTCCGAAGTGAGTGTGGGGAATAAGGAGACACAGGTGCAGGTCATGGGCCTGAAAGAGACCCTCATCTCAGGTATCCCTGCAGGGACCCGGAGATCTACGAGCTGTATGATGATGTGGAGCTGATAAACTCCAGCCTCAGCCCCGAAGGCAAAGGTTTGTTGGCAGTGGGGCTGGACCCAGCCAGCCTGGGCACCTGGGACATATCTGCTGCAAAGGCATTTTCTGCCACACTGCTCCCTGACAGTGCGGGGGAGAAAGCAGAGAAGTGGAGGAGCCTTTCAGAAAGGTCACACTAGTTCTTGATGGGCAGAACAGTGTAGTGAAGGGCAGCATAAAGACCAAGAGCCAGTGAACATGATGTAGCCAGGGCAGAAGGGTGACCCAGGATAGTGAAAGTGGACAAGTCAGGTAAAAAACAGCAAGAGGACTTGGTATATTATGCAGAGGCTAGAAGGAGCGAGCAAGCTTGCCTTGCGCCTTGGTGCAGAATGAAACCATCCCGGCATCTGGGACAAGAAAGGTGTCAGGTTCCCTCATAGACCTGTTGTGTTGGAGGTGCCTGAGAACTTGGGCCTGGACACAGGGTTTGAACCTGGCACCTCTTTCTCTTCATGCTCTGGGGTTCCAAAGAACCCATCTTCTCTCCCTTCCTCCATGTCTCTGGTCCTAGAGAGCAGTATGCTAGTCTACTAGGCCCACACCTCCAGCCCAGCCTTTGCCAACCTTGAATGGAAACAAAAATGGCTTCCACACAAGCACTTTACACATGTCACCAAATCTGCATAACCCCCTACCCAAGGTAATGTCACGGCCACTTTACAGATGTGGAAGCTTGAGGACCCCGGGGGGTAACTTGTATCAGCTCACACAGCCAGTACACAGAAGCCCCCTTCTGCTTCCAGACTGCTTCCCTGCCCTGGCTTTGGAAGGCCTCCTGTGGGGGAACCTATCAGGGGTATTTTTAGGAAGCTACCTCTCCCTCCCCATTTGTACCCCCCACCCAGGTCTGCTGCCTCTGTGGTTGCTTCTCCTGAGCTTTCCCCAGGGGCTGCTGCAACAGCCCTCCGTTAGCAGTTAGTACAGAGCTTCCTGACAAGGCCCTTCCTGTTTCCGTTCCAATGAGGCTCTGTGGCTAGGCTCTGGGGGATCACTGTCGGGGACATGGACATGGGAAGGGAATGCCTGTGGCCCTCCACTTCCAGCAGCCTTGCAGGCATGCACCATACCTCCCCCATTTCCCCAACCCCAACCAGACATCTCCCCCCCTGCTCACTGTCCCTGCACTGAATCAATCATTCTTCAACATTCTGATCAAATACCACAATTCCCTGGATCTTTCCCTTCTTGAGATGGTGTGAGGCTTCACTGTTAGTATGGATTGTCCCAAAGGCTGGTTTGTCCTTTTCAAATCTATCCTTCCACTCTCTGCCTTACCCAGAGCAATAGCGGCTCCACTTGAGGTTCCCCACATAGCTTGAGGCCAGGCCCAGCTCTTTCCCAGGATCCAAGCAGGCCACCCATGGGGCCTGCTCAGGGTCACATTGCCAGGAAGCTTGGGCTACAGGTACATCCACCACCCATGCCCAGTGGTATGCTCTGTGTTGCAATTGGTTTGTAGACTGCACCCAGCTCTGGGTGACCATCCCCGGTCTGGGAAGCCTCTGGAAGAGGTAGGAGTAGCTGGAGGGAATGTTCTGGGTGGGGCCGTGGATGGCACCATCATCTGAGTATCAGGTTGTGGCTGGAGGCAAGCTCAGTGCCTGAAGGGGCAAAAGCACCACACAAATGCCCCCAGTGGGCTACTTGACGAGAGGGACTGCTGGCCTGAAATGTCAAGATGCTTGGAGTCATTCAGAGAGAACAGCAAAAAGATGGGGCTTTGGGTTCTGGAGCCTTCACTCACTTGTTCATGAGCCTCTCACTATAAGCCAACCTCTTGACCAGCGGCCTCCTACCTGGAAGACTGGTCACTGGCCAGGAAATCTGCCTTACCCTGGGACACCCCTCACAGTCCAGTATCATCATCAGCAAGGACAGTCCAAGAAACCCACCTTGTCAGCTCCTTATTAGAGGCTGACTCCAGGAAATGCTTTTGCCTCATTTTTGACCCAACTCTCATAATTCCCACAATCCAACCTGTTCTTGGTACCAGACATAAAATGGCCTCAAATGCATACAAATAAATCCTGCCTCTCTACCACTTACCACCTGGGTGACCTTGGGCAAACCTCTCAGAGCCTTTATTTCCTCATCAGCAAATTGGGAATGAGAGTACTGCCTAATATCACAAATAAGGTTGAGTGTTGAAATGAATTAAAGTAGTGAACCGTTTCTGCTATGCCTTGTGTGTAGCAGGAGTTAAGAAAATGGAAGGCAATCCACTAGAACTCACAATCCAGGACAAAGGCCTGGGGAAAGGATGGGCAAGTGGGTAGGGCAGAGATTAGAAGGGGTCATGGCCTAAATGGGGGGATGTCTTGAGAACTGACAGAAGGCTCACTCAAGATCAAGCCACCAGGGTCAAGAGATGCCATGCTGATGGTCCCTGCCCTAATTTGGTGTTCTGACTGCCCCCAGATGAAGTACCATCTATCCAGCAACCTCCCAGAAAGGCAGCACAAGACACTGAACTCAGGTACCACAGGGCAAAGCAGGTTGGGACTGAGCTCTGGGACGGCTGTGGAAGGGGAACCCCTGAGAAGTACATCTTGCTTATAAGCACCCAATTCCTTGGGGTACTCAGGAAGGAGAAGGCCCCTCAGCCACAGCAGTTGCTGCCTATGGACCCTAAGGCCCGGAAGCAAATCCGGAAGGTGGAGAAAGCTGAGAGGGAGTTCCGGAAGAAGTTCAAGGTGTGGACACCAAATTAAGCAAGAGCCCTGGAAGGGTTGGGCTCAGTTCAGTTCACCAAGGCCCCTGGGGTGGGGATCAGCACAGCCAAAGCTTTAACATGTCCCTCCCCAGTTTGAGGGGGAGATCGTGATTCAGACAAGGATGATGATCGACCCCAATGCCAAGACGCGTCGAGGTGGGGGAAAGCACCTGGGGATCAGACGCGGAGAGATCCTGGAGGTGATCGAGTTCACCAACAAGGAGGAGATGCTGTGCAGGGACACCAAGGGCAAGTGTGAGTGAGCTGGGCTGGCAGCCCTAGGGAGACAGGCCCTGTACTACCAGGCCAAGAACTCACCCATCCCCTCTCTCTCTCTACAGATGGCTACGTGCCCAGAACAGCATTGCTGCCCTTGTGAGTGTCGCTGTGATTAGGGATGGGGGTGGGAATTGATGGGCCCAGGAGTTACTTTTGCTGACACAACTGTGTTCTTCACCAGAGAAACGGAGGTGTATGATGACGTTGGCTTCTTGAGTATGTAGATGTTCTGGGCAGGCTGGAGAGGACCACAGTGCCTTGGGACGGGGTAAGCCCCCACCCTTCTCCCCAGGAGCTGCTTATGAGGGGGTCACTGGAAGTCACCCTTCCTCCTCTGCAGACCCTCTAGAAAGCCACCCATTCCCCCAAGGACAATATGGCCCACAGGTGTGGGGACTAGGACAACTCACCACCAGCTCAACCATCCACTAACCCAGGAATCCTGGATCCCAGCTTGGAGGTCACAGAACTGCCAAGGTTCACACCTGACCACGTCGTGGACCACATAAAGCCCTTCTTTAAAGTGATCACCGCTTCTTGTCTTTCCTGACTGGCACACACACTGTAGAGCCATGATCCAACACTCGAGGGTCTGTGGGACTGACCCCCTCCTTCCCATTCTCACCCCTCAGGGATAAAGGCCAGGAGTAAAATGTGGCAGGGAGAAGGTGACAAAGGAACTACTACTCTGCTAGAATTCAAGGTTTGAGTCCCTGTGATTGGATCCGTCAGCTGCCAGCCATGATGGAAAGGGAGACAGGCAGAACACATCACTGACCCCCCACATGCAGACAGAACAAGCAGCAACTGCTGCTCCTTACAGGCTGCAAACAGCTGTCTAGCCCAAGTGGACATATGTACAAGGTGACACTTTGATGGTGATGGTGGTGGGGACCCAGTTGTGACAGAGCCCAGGTAAGTTCAGCCTGAACCTCTACAGGACTAAACATGCTCAGAAACTCACACCCTGCTTGGTTTTAGCAAAGAAAAACTGCTATGGGTTGAATATTTGCCCTCTCCCCCCACCAAAATTCCTAATGCCCAATTTGAGAGGCAATTAGGTTTATTGGGGCCCTTATGAAAGGGGCCCAAGTAAGCTCTTTTGTCCTCTCCACCATGTGAGGTAACAAGCTAGAAGGCACTATGAACCAGGATCTGGCCCTCACCAGACACTGAATCAGCTGGCATCTTTATCATGGACTTCCCAGCCTCCAGACTGTGAGAAATCAATTTCTGTTGTTTATAAACCACCAGCTTATGGTATTTTTGTTATAGCATCCAGAGCAGACTAAGACAAGTGCTGAAATGGAATAAACCTGATGCGGTCTCTGTGCCTCTCCCAGAAACTGCACAGAAGGGAGACAGGACAGCTAACAGCTAAGTGCTACATTACTAATACAAGGGAATTCACTTTTTTTTTTTTTTTGTACAGATAGAGTGGGAGGGAGAGAGAGGAAGGGAGAGAGAGTGAGAAACATCGACATGAAGGGACACATCGAGTGGCTGCCACCCGCACAACCAACCAGGGCCGGGGACAAACCTCAATCGAAGTACGTGCCCTTAGCGGGAACCAAACCCGGGTCTCTCCGGACCGCAGGCTGACGCTCTAACCGCTGAGCCAAACTGGCCAGGGCAATACAAGGGAATTCAAAGACCACTTAGGATCAAGTTTCCATAGAGTTAATTCCTCAAGTGGCAGGGTCCACAGACAAGCAAGAATGGGGATGAGACTACTGGTGTTTACAGTTCCAAGGGTAGGAAGAAGACTGAGTGGCTCCTCTCCCCAAATGTTGGGTGGTGGCCCCACAACACACACAAAAAAAGGAAGCAGCTTTCAGGAACTGGCATTTATTATCAAAGTCATATTTGATGTCAACAAGATGCCACAACTACAAAAAAAATTGTGCACATTGCAATCTCAATGCAAACAGTCAAATGGAACCCCAGTCATTAAAAAAGTAATTCAAATTACCCCAAAAGCAACTGAATTTTTAAAACACCTTTATACATCCAGCCAACAAATTAAAATGGTTAACAAGAAAAAATACAAATTCAGAGGTCTGGTATCGATGTTTAAAAAAGGCAACTGCTTAAGCATTTCTATCGATTCGAACATCAATCTCTCGGCCACTCAGCTTCATCCCATTCATCATCCGGCAGGCTCTCTCAGCCACCTCTGGAGACTCAAACTTAACCACACCGCACCCCTTGGACTTCCCATTCTCCATCTTGATGTCGGCATACAGCACGTGGCCTGGGCACAGAGAGGGAAGAAGAGACCACAACTCATCAGGCAAACCAGAGCTCAGCCTCACACTGGGCTCCACTCAGTCCAGATCACCTATAAATAGCAGTCATCTGAGTCAAAAGGGAGAATGACCCCTGCACCTGGTGCATGAATGCCCAGAACACAGCAGCTGGGACCCAACTACTACAGCTCTCAGCCTGACTCCCATTCTTCTGCCAACAGGACAACAATCTGACCAGCCCTGTGCTAATCCTTCACTGCAGCTTCAAATGCAGGCCTTTACACTCTGAAGAGTTAACCATTGAAAAGGGGGAGGGCGGGGGCCAACTTTACAAACAAATTTTACAGAGACTTCATTTTTCAATACACTACACCATCACATTTACAAGGCCATCGCCAATATGGTGGACACTTTTGAACTGTCCAAATCTAAGCTGTGTAATAATTAGCAAGCAGTTTTTACCTATTTATTCAAGCACCGATTAAGCATAAAGGTATGTGTCAAGCATTATGGAAACAAGTGAAAAGGAGAAAAGCCATAGAAACACAGGGCTCTATTTTAGTAACCGCCAAAGACATGACAGTGTAGCCAGTGGTAAGAGACCACAACTCTAGAGCCATTAACTCTGAGAAAGGGTCAACATTCAGAAGAGCTTCTCATGGGAGTTTTGAAAGAGTTAAGTTCACCAGAGAAGACTTGCTGATAATAGCTCTCAACAGAGCACTTCTGGAGAACAGCGCTTACAACACAGGGTTCAGAGACAGAAGAAAAATAAAAAAGGAAGGGACAAGGCTGTACAGGGGCTTGTGAGTTTGGACTTTTCTCTTATTGGCCAAGGGTCACCTCCAGGTATCTGAGTTCAGGGGGAGTTGCATGATCAAATCGGACCTTTCAGAATGTCTACTACAATGTGCAAACTAAGGAGTGGGGACAAAGGGCAAGAAAGCAGGTTATGGCTCAATAGCTGACCAGTGAGAAGAACCAGAAGCAATAATCGTGGCCACTACTGAAACAGGAAATGAGAACACTGAGGAAACTTCAATCTAGCAAGTCACCCAGACTGGCTGAGGGCTAGGCCTCATTATTTGATATGGTTAAAAGAACAGAAGTGGCTGAACAGCTCAGTTGGTTGAAGCACCATCCTCTACACCAAAAAGGTGGTGTGCTCAATTCCCAGTAAGGACACATACCTAAACTGCGGGTTTAGCCCTAGCTGGTGTGGCTCAGTTGATTGGGCGTCGTCCCATGCACCAGGATGTTGCCAGTTAGAGATTCCCAGTCAGGGCACATGCCCGGATTCCAGACTCGATCCCCAGTAGGGAACGTGCAAGAGGCAGTCAATCAGTGTTCCACTCTCACATCAGTTTTTCTCTCTTTCCCTCTCTCGAAAAATCAATGAACTATTTTTACAAACAATAAATTATGGGTTCAATCCCCAATTGGGGTGCATACGGGAGGCAACCAATTGATGTTTCTCTCAACATACCCTCAGGTGAGGATTGAAAAAAAAAAGAAAAATGCCCATCCAGTGTGGCTCAGTGGTTGAGCATCGACCCATGCATCAAGAGGTCAAAAGTTCGATTCCTGGTCAGGGCACATGCCCAGGTGGTAGGCCAAATCCCCAGTGGGGGACATGCAGGAGGCAGCTAATCAATGTTCTCTCTCATCAATGTTTCTATCTCTCCCTCTCCCTTCCTCTCTCTCTAAAATCAATGAAAAGAGGAAGAAAAAAAAAACAGAATAGAAGTGGTGGGGATGAGAGTTGGGGTTTCACCCAGAGACAACTTAACTTACTTTTGGCCAAAAAGTGAGCCTTCCAGAGTGGTTGCCTGGTGTGCCAGAAAACCACACAGACCCTCAGCCTCGTCCACACATAAGCTACCATGTACCCAGAGCCTGGCAAAGCCTCACTGATAGGACCTGCTGGGCCAGTGCTCTTTGAGGCACAACCCAAGTTGGTGCTGTGGTAGAAAGAGACCTATCTCAGATGTATACATTTTATTTAGGTCTGCTACTTAGAAGCCATGCAACCTTGGGAACGTGATTTTGCCTAACTTATCTGTAAAATGGTGACAAGGCCATCTCCTTTCAAAAATTGTAAAAGGAGAAAAGGGATTAAAAATGAAATGAAAACATAGGTGAAAAGTACTGACACATAACAAGAAACACAACAACCTGCTTGAATATTTGAGTAAGGCAGAAAAATGTCAAGTCCCATCAGCACTCTAGAGTAAAGACAGAGTAGCTTTTGTTCTTTATTCATTTTAGAGAGAGAGGGAGGGAGAGAGAGATGGAAACATTGATTGGCCGCCTCCTACATGTTCCCACTGGGGACTGGGCCCACAACATGGGAATGTGCCATGACCAGGAATCAAACTGGTGACCTCTTGGTGCATGGGTCGACGCTCAACCACTGAGCGACACCAACCGGGCAAAAGTGGCTTTTAAGAATAGGGTAAGAAGGGGCCCTGGCCAGTTTGGCTCAGCGGTTGGAGCATCGGCCTGTGGACCAGAGAGTCCCAGGTTCGGTTCCCGCTAGGGGCACATACCAAATTAAAAAAATAATAATAGGCCCTGGCCGGTTTGGCTCAGCGGTTAGAGCGTCGGCCTGCGGTCCTGAGAGACCCGGGTTCGGTTCCCGCTAAGGGCACGTACCTTGGTTGCAGTTTGTCCCCGGCCCTGGTCGGTTGTGCGGGTGGCAACCACTCGATGTGTCCCTTCACATCGATGTTTCTCTCTCTCTGTTCCTCTCTCTCCCTCCCACTCTACCTGAACAACAAAAAAAAACAAACAAACAAACAAAAAAAAATAATAGTAAAAAAAGAATAGGATAGAAGGTTCACTGCATGACTCAAATGCATCACCAACAAGCTAAGATTTCTGAAGACATAACAAAAGGAAGCACCTAGAAAGCCTTTCTCACTTACCACATTCATTGAATTTGTCCTTTAGCATCTTCCATGTAAAATCAAATGGGAGCTGAGAGAGAGAAAAAAAAAAAAACAGACCGATGAGTGATTCAACCATATCCTAAAGTATAAATATCCCCATTATTTCTGAAGGTGATTTAAAGGACTTCCTATTACAAGAGAGACTGGCTGACCTTCAAACTGGGACGATCACAGAGAACAAAAAAAAGTTGGTCTGGAATGAGGTTCTAAACTAGCACATCAAGTTCACTCCCCTGTGGTTTTCCTTGTCTGTGGAAGCATCATACAGAGAGAGCACAATTCCTGTGATTCAAGCCACAGAACCACCGAATAGTAGCTAAGGGTGGTCTATTTGATACAGATGCCAAGGTTTAGTGGCTCAAGAGAAGGGATCAGGA